AACGTACCAGCCCACGTAATAAGGAAGCCAGCCTGTCCGGCGGAATCGCGCAGTTGGATGATGGCCACCAGGATAATGATCACGATGATCACCAGAACGTGACAAGCGCCCCAGAGCGTTTATGCAAGTCACTTGCCGTGAGCCGTTGAAGGGGCAAACGGTCCGTTGTTTCGCCAGCAAGGACACCGACCCAGTATGGAAGCAGATCTAGCACCATCGCCTCGATGGGCGCTCTCTTGAACGCCGGAAGACACCACCGCCAAGCCATTGACCAGAAACGCATAAGCGATGAGAGAGCGCGGGAAGAAATGTCCCGAACGCAACATCGAGCGGAGGGGGAGGTCCGCCTGGCTGGGAGAACAGCACGATGTGCCAGTACCCGATGCTCACCAGGCACCAGAAAAGAACGATGGGCTTGGTCGTACTAAGAGGAAGAGCGCTGCAGTCACGAGCGCGTTGAAAACGATGCGTCGTAGTCTCGCAGATCCGTGCAGTGATGGAGGCTGTCACTTGGCGCGAAAGCGAAACGACAGCGGAAAAGACGGTGGGAAACCCGATGGAGTTCAGCCCGTTGCCACTGGTAGGCAAGAAAATTCGCGAACGTGCCGACAAGATCAAGTGTCCCGCATCCCCCTCGACGGTTGCTGATCAGTCCGCTGCATGGGCTTAGCAAAGTAATCCCACATAGCCTATCACGTACGATGGATTGCAGCAGCGCAAATGAAGCTGTCGCCGCGATAGGTCCGGTTCGCATCGCCTCCGCCGACAATCAACGGCACAAAGTCCATCTCTTCGTCTCCGACGGTCCGCGGGTTGGCCAGGATGACGCCTGCGCAGCCAGCAGGGCATCGGAAGCTGGACCGACCGAATCATTGGTATGATGTGCTGTCCTTGACTGGGGCACTCACTCGAGCGACGAGCGTTGAATGGGGCGCATGCCTGGCCATCAAGGCCGCAGTTGCCTTCAGACAGCCAATAAGTAGCCGTGCAGCTGATGAAAGCGTCGGCTGGAGTCTGGAAGAACTGGGCTCTTGCAAAGAAGGCTAATGATATGATGTATGCGGCAACTAATCCCTTGCGTGAGCGGATATGCAACGGTTTGTGAGAGTCGAGTACCGAGGACAACGGTCAGCAGATGGCTCGGCACGAACCGAGTGAGTCGCAGCCAGGTTCTCTCGAGAGGCAGTGAGATGTGGCGGCCACGAACATGGAAGTCAATGTCGAGGAAAGGTTTGGGATGAGTATTATCCAGAGTCAACTCGCGTGCATATTTATCGAGCGCCAAGAGGAATACCAGGAAGGTCGACTTTCGGACGAGGTCCTCTTAGCCACAGAAAGACCTTGTTCAACCTTGGGAACCGCGCAGATTGTTGGCGGATCCTTGCAACGAAGCCCCCGCGGGCGGCTGATGTATGTCGAGAGTGGGTCGGGCGTCTTCAACGTCGAAGGTATGTATCGGGGGTTTGGAGGCGGGTAAGTCGTGGCTGAGAAAGTCGACGCTCTGTGTTCGAGAAGAGCTCGTCTTCGAGCTTTCGCCCGACATGCGGGAAGTGAGTGTGTAAGAGGGCAAGTATGATTACGCTAAAATAGTATCGCCCACTCAGCGGGCTGACAGCCCACGATCGTGGCTATGCTGGAAGTCAAATCCGCTGACCAAAACAGGGCGCAACATTGAGCGCGTTTCTCTCCTGCCTAGACTGTTTCCGTCCGAGACCGACCCTGTAATGTTCCAAGAGTCCCCAGCTCCCTCCGAACACTTGTTTACACGCTAGATCACGCGTCCTTTCCACTCCATGCCGTATCGCTATCACGACGACCAAGCCGGTTCTGATGATGTTCGTGCCGATCAGAGTATGTGCCGTTCCCGTCCGCTGAAGCGCATCTAGCTCGAGGAGATATTAGAGATGTCCAGACACGAACGAAGCCTGCCGGCATCGACCCGGGGAGCCGGGCCTCCCGCGTCTCGAACCCTCACATCGCTGTGCCTCATGATCAACGCAAGCAGGAGCTTAATAGGGGGTGGCGAAGCTCGATGCGGAGTTGTCGAACATCCGGGAGGAGATAGGGCAACTCCAAGCCCTTTCTGCCCTCCGCTCGGACGAGAGGCGAAAACTCTTGCAGGAGTTAGAACAGCTTAGTGTGGCTCCGGGCAATGCCAAGGGCAAGAACACCGATGGCGTTTCTGGAACGGACTACAGCTCGGACGACTTCCCCTGGTACGGAGAGCTCAAGAATCAAATGGAGAGAGTATTCAACATCCGCGATTTTCGACTGTGCCAACAAGGGTGGGCAATCCTCACACTGTTTCTGGTGCAGGAAACTGACATCGTTCAGCGTATGTAATGCCAACATGGACTCCCGCGATATTGTATGTGTAATGCCGACTGGTAAGTACCGTAAACAGTCCCAGACATATGTCTTACTATTTCAGGCGGCGGGAAAAGCTTGACCTACCAATTGCCTGCCCTACTGAACCCTGGATGCACCCTGGTCGTATCACCCTTGATCTCCCTGATTACAGACCAGATATTGCACCTTCGCGAAGCAGGCAGTGCGTGGACTGACATATGATGTCTAAATCCGCATTTGACGGCAACTAGTCGAAGCTGTGAAGATCACAGGTGGGACACCAAAAGCAGAGGCTCGCGAGATCAACAGCAGGCTGGTGGCAATGGCACAGAATCGACCAACACAAGGCAGAGAGATTAAGCTTTGTTATGTGACTGTAAGATGAATGTTAGACCCGGAGAACAGCAGTTTGATCGCTTTCGCAGCCAGAGAAGATCGTTAAGAGCAAGACCTTCATGTCTATGTTGCAGAAGCTGGTCGATGGTGGCCGACTCGGTGAGTGTGTGTCTGGTGACAGAATTTTGGGCTCAACTGGCGCAGCTCGGATCGTGATTGACGAAGCCCATTGTATTTCACAACTCGGCCACGACTTTCGGCCTGACTATCAAAAGCTACATATACTTCGACAAAACTTCCCACACGTTCCCATTATGGCTCTATCCGCGACATGTCCCCCACGAGTGCTGGATGATCTCTTGCGGGTGCTTGGCCTCAAGGGAGTCGTTGATGGGAACGGTGCGTGTATGACAACCCAGCCTGAAACTAGGATCCTGACTCCGGCACAGATGCCAAGGTCAACGGAACTGTCTACTTCTGTTCCCCCCTGTATCGCAAGAACCTTCACTATAAGATTCTCCCCAAAGCAGCAGCTCTGAAAGCTCAAATCACCGCGATGAAAGAATACATACTTGAAAATCACGCGAACCACACAGGCATCGTTTATTGTCATACCAAGAAGGTATTTTATACAACCTGATTCACTGGAGCCCCGCTAACGGTGCTGATCAGGACGCTGAAAAGGTCGCGAAGGTTGAAAGCAGAGAGTGGCGGGAAGATCAAGACCGGAGTGTACCACGCGGAGAGGGGCGACCAAGAGAAAGAGACATTGCACAGGAGATGGAGAAAAGGCGATGTTCAGGTTGTTTGCGCGACCATTGGTCCGTTCTTTTCGAGATTTCCAGGTCAGCCAGCTCAGACTAACATGTTAAAAGCTTTCGGCCTCGGAATCGACAAAGGGGACGTTAGATTTGTTCTGCACCACACGGTTCGTTCAACTTGTCATCGAATTCTGCTTGGGGCCAAGCGTTTTTCAGCTTTCGGTGAGCCACTGCTCAAGCTTGCGTCGCTCAGTTTCTATAATCCGTTTTCAAGAAATCTCTGGATTCGTACTATCGTCCGTTGCTTTTTCGCATAAATTCATTCAGCGACCTCATCTTGCCATAGAGGAGTCAGGTCGCGCTGGCCGTGATGGAAAAGATTCAGACTGTGTGCTATACTTCCGACCGGCCGACTTCTCGAACCTGAGTAGCATGATGGCGAGTGAACGCGGCGGAGCGGATAAATGTGGGCCTGAAGCATCGGTCGCTTGGGCTCAGCTAATCCGGGTCCACAGTCCACCACATGCTTGCATTTGCCCACGATCTGGTGGAATGTCGCAAGATAGCCTTTGCCAAGTGCGCGTCGTCCTTCGAAAGTTCTATGTCGCTCATTGCCGCAGATACTTTTCTCATGCGTCGCAACTGTCGTTGACGTCCTGGGCCACAGCAGATGCCGATGCTCTCAGCCGCTGCGGACATTGCGATAACTGCAACCGAGATCCAAATAGCTTCGAGCGGCGAGACGCGACGTTGGATTCATGGAAGGTCCTTCGCATCGTGGATGCTTTCAAGACTTCTGGTACTCAGCTGACCCTCGCTATGCTCACCGACCTGGCCCGCGGCAACAGTAGCGGCAAGGATAAGGCCGCGCTTGATTTGGAGGATGTGTGCCAAGGCAAGGTCGAACTGACGAAAGATGTGAGTCAAAGCTTACGCCAAACGTTGCCTGCTGAAGACATATCAAGGATCTGGAGAGTCTGCTGGTGGAACTTGTGGTCAAGAAGTATCTCGTGGAAAACTACCACTCGACAGCATACAAGACCGTGGCGTACCTCTCCAACGGACCTCTGGCCCTGCAGTTCACGCGCTTCTCCAAACAGAGGCTGGAAACCGACTCACTTGCGCCGAAGCTTGAGTGTTGTTTCAGGACAAAGCAACCGAAGGGTAAAGGAAGGAACAGGGCCAGGGAGAGCATCGGCAGCAAGCGCAGGCGAGAGCCCGAAAGCGAAGACCACGAGCACAATGATTTCTCGGATGAGGATATCGAAGAGCTTGAAGAGCCAGATTTCTACGGAGAGATGGATGATTTCATTGTCCCAGACAAGCAACCGAGCAGAAAAGCGATCGGCTCTCGACGACGGCCTTCCGGAGTCCATGAAGCATTTGACCACATAAGTTTGGCCGACTCGTCGGATGTCGATGTTCCGTGGTCATACTCCATGCGCGACGGCCCCAAGGATTCACCAGCAAAGAGGCGACGTGTTGGCACTTCGACGAACAGTGTTCGGAGTAGTGCCAAATTCAAGAGGATCGCGTTGGATTGTGAAAGAGAGGTTATAGAATTGTCAGATTCATGAAATGTACATGGATGGATCACAGTCCTCCGACTAAGATATTGCAACGATCAGCGGCATTCGGAGCTTGGGGACGAAACGCGACGTACGATAATCATACACAAGCTTAGTTTCGATGACCTCCCCTTGGGGGCCAATGAACTTGACATGCCGCGCGTAGCGACGAACTCCGTCGATCTCCTCCATTCCCCAAGTCTGCGATGCAAATGTAAGCTTTGAAGGTCATCGAGTTATACTGCCGTATCATCAGACCTGGTGAGCGATCCAAGTCGTCCCGCTCCGCGGCGTGTCACTGTACACATACGACTCGACGAGTCCATGCTCGAATGTGTCTGCGGTCCATTGGGTCGCGAGGAACGGTTCAGTGACCTCACTCGCTTGGACGCGCCTGCCAAAACAGGTCAGCATGATGCGACCATAGGGGCAGAAGCAGGTGTGCCCCATTCACGCACCTCGATTTGCCGACAACTGGCCCGAACAACGAGTCATTCACCTCCCGTTCCTGCCAATTGAGTCCCCGCTCCTCACGAGTCCCAGGGATTCCGCCTGTGAGAGTCTAGAAGGTCCGTCATCTCGCGTATTCACGCGTAGATGGATAGACTGCCCTGATCAATATCGATATGCTCCACCCCTGCGTCGTCCTTGTAGTGCTTTACGTAGAGGGTGATCGTGCTTTTCGCGATAACGCTTCGCTTGAACCAACCGACGCCTTGGAGCCTCAAGATCGTGTCTGTGTCGTTCCCATTGGTCAAGGTCTTGTTCTGAGTGCAAGGTGAGGAAGCGGAATGAGCGACGAGGTACCAGTGCTTCGTGACGAACCATAGAGAACTTGCCAGTGATGTTCAAGATCGTGAACTCTGCAGGGACAGCCATGGTGGTAGATAGTTGAAGAAGAGTTCGAGTTACTACATCTGCTGCCTATTTAGTCAACGGTCGAACGCGGGGTATCGCAATCACTGCCTCGTCGAACGTCCTGTGACCTCATTGCTCGAAGCATGTGAATCCCATGGGGAATGTGATTCTCCCCAAAGCGAATGGGAGGTACCATGCTTTGAGCATGGTCTATTTGCCAACAGGGAATACAGTTATGACCTTCCATATGGCATCCTTCCCCCGTTCCCATGCCTGAGGGCCTTTAGCCGCGTCTCCCCCAAACTCGACCATCAGTCCATCATGCGTCCATTCGCACCAGATCCCAATTGAGCCAGAAGACGGCCCAGAACCGCCACCCTTCCGAGCAGGCTCCCCAAAACACGCGACGAAATCTTTCCCCGTGCTTTCAGGGCCAACCGAGAATTCAGCCGGCCTGCTAGGCAGCTCTTTTTCCTCCTTGTCTCTCGTACCCGGCTGCAGCTGGAGGGTGAGAGGCATGCCGGGATACGTTGAGAATGCGAGTTCGGCCTTTCGTGCTGAGGTTCCTTTGGTTTGGGGATCGGATGCTGTGGGCTTGGGGACGTTATAGAAATCGAGTCCCTCGAGCTCCAAGTCACTATCTCTGAGATTCGTACGCGATAACCCCGTTGCGGGCTTGTATCCGTTCTTGGGGGCGAACAACAGACTCAATCCGAGAGCATAGTAGTTGAAGTACACCGCGTCGGAATACGATTTGATTTCTGGTTCTGCAACTACCAAGTTGGTCTGACTGTATAGAGCTGCGATGTACTCGCGCAGAGATTCCGAGGACGGGTTTGCGCGTAAGAGATTGTGGATGTTGAGAGACATCAGCTATCTAAACACGTGCCAGGCAACCTTTCTTGGCCATGACGTTGATGGCGGTGGACGCGCCTCCACCGCGTCGCAGCATACTTGCCACAGCTGCTGTCTCGATCGCTAGCTTTCTGAGACCGAGGCTACCTCATATTCTGCCTTTTTTCATCTACCTGTCTTTGTTCCCTCTGCTTGCCTTCTTCTCTGCAACTGCTGGGTTTCTTGTCTGGGAGAACGCCGCTGTAGCTTGGAGGGTACCACTCTATCTGCAATATGGGTACGATTATTGTGACCCGACCAGGTCTTCTCTGAACTCTGAAAGTGCAGCGACGGACTGCCTCCATACGCAGACGTTCAGTTGCCGTCTCTTGTCGCCAAACAGCGATACGACTTCTATCTCGACCTACAAGTTCCTGCAGTCGAATCGAACTACGCACTAGGAAACTTTATGGTCAATTTTTCTCTCTTGACGCGCGGAAACCACACATTAGTGTCTGTCCGAAAACCGGTCCGTGCTTCGCTATTCATCCCTGAATCGCTATTAATCGGGTTCACAGGCCATTGTGGTATCTCCACAACCCCGACTGTTCAGGCGCACTTCTTCAGAGATATCGATTCGCGTTCCTGTCCTCTCTTCTTACGCGGCCGGAACATCCAAGCTTGCTGTGCACATTGAAGTGGGACGACGAGACAACTGGAAGACCCTGGGCACAGGGCAAGGCCGCGAACTAAGTGTTACCTCGGCGTCTCTGCATGGTACTGTAGTGCATCACGGTATCCGGTAAGTGTTTGTTCCGGATTCAGCCCCCTCTTTTGACGCAAATGCAGCGGTTTGGTCACTCGTTTCCCTCTGCTATCTGCTCTGGCGGCCTCGGCTCTGTTCTTCTTCGTGTCGTCCTCGATTGTGGCTGGATGTATTTTGCCACTGGTATTCGACCACAACGCCTCAGCATTTTCTCCTCTACCCCAAGACCTCGCGGCACATCCGTCTCTGGCTCCAACATCGGACGATGAATGGACAAGTGAATCGGAGAAGCCGCTGGCCAGAGGACGAGGCAGTCAGACCGTATGTTTTCATCTCTGTTCTCTTGTGCTGTAGTTGAATCCGTGTGTAGTCCATCAAGACAGAGGAGGACTACCCTACACAGGTGACTGATATGCCTGTGGCATCCGGATCTACCACTACGACAACTCTGCGACGAAGGCAGTCGAGGATTTACGAGTATTCTGCGTCCGATTCTGATTCGTCTTCTTGATTCGTCCTCTCGAGAGGAAACCATTCATTGAATTGTAAAATATACAAGAATCCACGTTTAGTATTAGCGCCCCACCGCCAGCCGCTCATTCTTTTGGTTCTGCTTTTTCTTCGGTGACCGACTGCGAAGGTTTGCTCTCTCCAACGGATGCTGTGTTCGAATCTTTGGCTTGTACAGCGGGGATCGTTGCTTTGTCCTCAGCTTGTTCTTCAGAAATCGTCTCTTTCGCCTCGGCAGGCTTTGTGTCGGGCTTCGCGAGCTCGACTGGCGCCGACTCCTTTGGTTTCAACTTGTCTGTGCTGGAATTACTGGCAGGTGCACCACTTAGCCCTTTGACCAGATCCCCAGCCTCATCTCCGTCCAAGCCAAGTTCGGCGACGAGATCTGCCAACTCTTTCTCGGACACATGTACACCTTGCAGCCCGAATCCATCCAGCTCGGTGCTCACGTCGAACAGATCGTCGCGCTTGTTGATCGGGATCGGTTTCTTGCCCTTGAGCGGAGACGGGGGATGCTGCGCGGCGATGATCTTCGACCGCTGAGGCTCGGGCGTCATCTCAAGCGGGGTGTACGCCCCTGGCACACCCACAGGTCCGGCGGCAAGGGCCGGACCGTCTCCATCGAGGTCGGGGTCCCAGGACTCCTTCAGCCGCAGGAAAATGTCGAGTTCGTCGTATTCGACTGCTTCTTCACTGACCAAAGTGTGAATGCGGGATAATGCACGGGTAGATGAGAGATGGGAAGACTGACAACTCCGAGAACGGCTGGAGGGGAGCTAGGGTGTCAGTTATCGTCGCAGTGCGGTGGATCGTGAGACGAACTCCAGGGAATTTGCCGCCTACTAGCATGCCGGGAAGCTGTTGTTTGTCTGATCAATGTGTGAGAATGCAGGAGCACGATATATATAGCAAGCAAGTATCGGCCGCACCTGCAGGTGCCTTTCGCCTCCATCTTCGCTTTGCCTTGCCGCCGACTCAGATTAGAAGAGACGTTCTGATTGTGAGATGGATCGACCGACATTCTCGTCTGATGCAAGGTCGTAGGAGGTATACGGGATCTTCTTGACCTGAAGCGTCCGAAGTATGTAGTCTGGGTTTGGATCATCAAGCGTCGTCAGGACTCAGGATTGTGGACTTCTTCAACTGACCTTGACGTTGTCGCAAGACAGGCTGCGACGCGATTGTAGTGAGAAAGAGCTGTTTCGACCTGAGTTGAGTATGGATTTGGATGGCACAAGGTAGGACAAACTTCGATGGGTGGCGAAGGCATGGCGGTTCGCAGTCGACAAGATGGCAACGTCGAGCTATCGGGGACTAGTTTGGACACCGATAATTGACGCGTCGACAATCGATCGGCCTGTCAGATTACCGCTTGCTGCTCACCTTACTTGATCCCCTCCACTAAGGATGCCAGACAGCAAAGAACCCGTCGCGAAAGTGCTCGTCGTGTGTCTGGGCAATATCTGCCGCTCTCCCATGGGCGAAGCCGTCCTGCGAGCCGCCGCGAAGGAGCGCGGGCTTGACATCGAGGTCGACAGCTGCGGGACGGCCGGATATCATTCTGGCGAGGACCCAGATGACGTGAGTTGACTTGAGTTGGCTGTCGTGGATTCGGTACCCATACTTGTCCCAGAGGTTCGTGAATCAACGAGGACGGATACGGCACAGGCTTGATAACCGTCCGAAATTCACTCTCTAGAACCGTCGCGACTTGCAAGAAGGTATGAGATCGTTCGTGGCTCAGAAGCGTAAGCACTAACTGTCTGCAACATGTACAGTATAGGATACCGATCAATCATCATGCTCGACAACTCCACAAGTACGGTGCCAATCTCGCGTTTGCTTGACGGCTCATATGCGATGACAGAAAAGACTTTACCCGGTTCACCCACATCCTTGCGTCGGACCACGACAACTTGCGCAACATAAACCGCGTCAAGCCTTCCGACGCGACGGCTGATATCAGACTTTGGGGTTCCTATCTAGATGATAAAGCGATCCCAGATCCCTGGTACGGCGGAATGGTAGGCTTCAGCGAGAACGACTCTCCAGGAGGCTAAACCCCAACTCAGAGCGACTTTGAGAGCACTTATAAGCAGTGCACGGCATTATCGAAGGCCTTTCTGGATGAGTTGGTGGACGACAAAGCGTGATTGGCAGTAGTAAATGGTACAGTGGATATTCGACAGCGAGTTTTGCGAGACAAACTAATGATGGGTGGGCATGTCGACAGCAGCCCGAGTTCCCAACGCATCCTCCGAGTTCCAGAGTGAAGTTGTGGTCTGCAATACATGGAGTGTGCTTCCTTATCAAGCACAAGAACTGACGAACCTTGTTCTGGGTGTAGAAATTGATGCCATTCTTCCCGTAGAAGTGAATATCTCCGCTGTACCAAGGTCAGATCCGGGCTCCTACGTCCGATATCAAGAGAAACGAACAGGAAGCTGCCCTGTGAAGGATTCAGATGCGATCACAACCCCAAGCGAACAACGAACCTTGTTACCGGACCAGGAGAACATGGGAAGTGCTATTTGCGATTCAGCGAGTTGAGCTGTCCGGTCATGAAAGGTACGTACGAACGGGGATCGGCACGTTGATTCCGACTTGCCCAACGTTCACCTCAGTCTGTGCTGGTATTAGACATACATAAGACCACAGGGAAAGAGAACTATCGTGCCTCGAATTTCCTCGCAGTGGCACCAGACTGGGTGAAGATGGCAGCGCCGTTTCCATATCGGTTCTTGTTGATGATTTCAATGCCTTCGTCCAGCGTGTCGACTGCGATCACTGTCAACACGGGCCCGAATATCTCTTGCCTAGATAGATCGGTTCAGCAAAGGAACTGCAGCAGTCAATGCGCTGGAACTTACTGATAGCATTTCATGGTGACGTCGCCTTTGATGATCGTGGGACCTGGTAGATGTTAAAAAGATGAACTGAGACGCTGGCCAAGTTCTGCTCACCAACAAAGTTCCCCTCAGGGTACCCAGGGACCTGAACATTTCGGCCGTCGAGAAGGATTTTACCACCTTCCTCGTCAGCCGAGGCAATCAAACCAGTCACTCGAGCTTTCGAAGCAGGCGATATCAGAGGCCCCAAATCGGCACCCGCTTCGAAGCCACCGTTGACCTTCAACTTGCTGGAACGTTCAATGAGCTCGGGAAGCCATGACTGGGCTTCGCCGACGAGCAGGACCACAGAAATCGCCATGCAGCGTTGCCCAGCGGCTTCAGTTCACTCAATAATCCTTCTCATGTCAATACAAGTGAAGCAAGTCGTACCTCCGAATGCAGCACCAATGATGGAATTGAGGGCCTGATTGCGGTTTGCATCGGGCATGAGAATGGCGTGGTTTTTGGCACCAAGATTGGCCTTGGTCCCTTAGCGAAGCAGGAGAAAGGTGAAACTGGGACAAGTACCTGAACGCGCTTGCCATTCTGTGTCGCTCTATAGATAAAGCATCAGCGTCTGGATGTAGGAGCCAATTCAGTCACTTGCCTGTCGTAGATGTGGCGGCCAGCACGATCACCACCCACAAAGCTGATGGCTTTGATGGCAGGATCATCGCAGAGTGCGTTGACTGTGCGGACACCGCCGTGGACGATGTTCAGAACACCCTCTGGAAGCCCTGCCCGCTGACAAAGCTCGGCAATGATCATAGCCGCGCCCGGATCACGTTCAGACGGCTTAAGGATGAGCGTGTTCCCTGCATGACACCATTGAGAACGCGCACGAAATCACACAAGAAGCGCAAACCGGTTACAACGGCCATGGGGATGGACCAGAGCGGGATCATCGCCGGAAAGTTGAACGGCGCGATGCTTGCACAGACTCCGAGCGGAAGCTTTCGAACTTCCGTGTCCATATCCTTGCTGACTGCGAGAGCGTCGGTGGAAGTTTTAGAAGATATCATCACATCTCACCCTCCATCTTTTCACCCAGAAGGGTCGTAGTTATTGCGGTCGCCGTTTCGACGACTTGAAGCCCTCGAAGAAGGTCGCCGTGGGCATCTACACCGTTCATAAGCGTTCGAGATCAGAGCCTGGGCTATGCAAGCAACGCAGCAATGCCAACCGTACCTGCGAATGTCTTTCCCTGTTCCAGAACGATGCTATTCGCGATGGCGTCCGCGTTCTGACGCAATAAATGCTGGAGTCTGACGCGCAGTCAGAGAAGCAGAACCCCACTGAATGCACTATTTCACTCACTCGAGAGCGAATCGCTGTCGTCTCAAGACACTCGTTCGGCTCCACGACTTGAAGGCATCCGAGGCAGCGTCGACAGCCTGCTGGAACTCGCCTGAGGTCGTTTGCGGAACGCGTGAGAGCAGTGTTTGCGTAGACTTTCATCGAGACAATGGTCAGACAAGCACCCAAGGGTTTGGATGATGATATCTCACGGGGTCAAGCACGTCGATCCACTCATTCGTATTGCTTTCGACGAATTGACCACCGATGAAGTTCTTCGTGGTCCCACCCTCAACGGAGGTACCCTGCCATTCGGAAAGTTGTGTTACTGCAGACTTTGCGAGGTCGCCGAGAGCTCGTCGAGGAACGCAAGTGGTAAAACGGCGGATAGAAGGCATGGTTGGTGGTAAGGTTGCCCCGGATCCGGCCCGATCACTTCACACAGCGAAAGCGGGGTCAAGATCATGATTGACAGGTATCACGTGGCTGACCACTTTGGGATAGGGATTTTCAGACCTGGCCTCGGACTACCATGAATGGCTACGCAGGCTCCTCCAATCACCCACCAAACAGCACGGATGACTTTGGAAATGACATGACATCTCCGTCGAGCTCTAACTACAATGGATTCTTGCAGGACGGACGGTCCGGGACATCTCCCAGTCCTGCTGGGTTCAGCAACGAACCAACACTGGGAGTGGTAGACCAGGAAGGCGTGCAAGCGGTCAACCCGGCATGGATGAATGCACTCCCCCCTCAGCAAACATATCCCAACAATCTAGGCGGCATGCCCGCGTTCTTCTCGCAGCAAGTCTTCCACGACGCGTTGGCCTTATCATATCCTGTCGAGCCCGCAGATGAACCTGTGCTTGTGAAGACCTTGGCCGAGACTCGGAGTAGGGGAGTCACGTATAAGGACGCGCTGAATGGGCTTCATGGGGTGTGTCTCTTTGACGCGTGTTTAACATGCGTAGTACTCACCTGGTGTTCTCCAGACCGGAGGACATTCGGCAACACTCTGGAAAGATTACTACTTGGACAACAAGGTTTGATCCCTCATCCTGTCAACTTTTTGCTCTTACCGAAACAGTCTCTGAAATCAAGGACCGACTAGACCTTGCCATCCAAGCTTATGGGCCGCCCAAGAAGACGATCAAGAAGCCTTCTATCGCGACATTCAAGACGGAACCCTCACCTCAGGCTTCGTCTGCCTTCCGCTCATCTTCTCCTGTCGCATCATCGTCCTCGTCCAGAGTGAACAAACGCAGAAAACCGAACGAAAGAACACGACGATCCTCGGAGTCTTCTCAACAGGCGACGAAACCTGCGCCCAGAGGACGCAGCACGATCAACAGCATGACAGTGCATGTCGCGGAATTCAATCCTCGTCTACCGCCTCCTAATACCGAGTTGAGAATCCCCGAACCTCCGTCGCGCTCACCGACGCCGCCCACAGAACTCATTGTACGTCGCGTCAGTTGATTCAGGCTCGGCTTGCACATTCATTTGATGTTTCCAGCCTCATGCACGGGGGGGCCACAAATTCACGTTATCGGATCGCAAATTCTTCATCAACTTCATCGGGTGGCGCCTGAAAGATGACCCGACCCTGACCAGACTCGAACTGTGCGAGCTGTTAGCGGAGAAGGTGGGTGCATAGCACTTGACTGGGGAGCGAGTGCCATGACTTGACGAACCGAGTTAGGCACCACATCACAGTTATCAGTCATGGGCCTCGTATTGGTCCGGCCATCATGATCTACCGGACAAGATTCTAGCATCCCATCGTCGGCAGGCGGAGGAGGCTGAATTGAAAGCCGAGGAAGAAGAATCTGAGAGCAGTAATGAAGGCGGATCATCTCGGCGTCGACGCAAATATGAAGAACCCGATTCAGGGTCAGAGCTCACTGAATCTGAGAATGAAGAGGAAGAGGTGGACGAGGAATCTGACGACGAGGACGTAGATATTCCAGCGGCGGATATAAGTCAAATGGGGCCAAAAGGGGGCTCATACACCCAAGGTGAGCTCCAGTCTGCTCTTGTCGCGCGGTTCATTTAGCCCTTCTCGTCCAGCTGACATGGCTGTGGTGGCCAGACACGTGGCGACATTCCCCGATTTCCTAGAGGTATGCGACAATATCTTGAGAAAAGTCATCCTGAGCATTTTCAGGTCGGATACACAGAGCGATGGAGAAAGTTTGCACCCTTGTATCCTCAGAGAACAATGAACTCTTGGAAGTGAGTGTGCGGTAGTGAAGACCTTCGGCAGTTTCTGACCAGCGCAGTGAATACTACAAGCGAAATTCGAAACGTAAGCTTTGCATCCACTCTTTGTCGCGCTACTGAGGTCCTCGTCCAGAAATCGATAAAATTGCCAAAAAGATTCGGTCACAGAGTTCCACTGTGGAGCAAACGTCACCGCCGTCGAGGACATGGTCTCGATCAGTTGAACTGAGCTCAGGTCCGCCACGAGCCAAACGTAAATTTAGCGTGGAGGAAGACTTGCTGATACCCGAAGACCGAGAATTTTGAGCAGCACAACGACGAAGGACACATGCAATGTAAACTACAATTTAGCCCCTATCTTATTTTGTAATAGTCGACTGATCCACGTGGGTCGGTTACTACTGGGTCAAGTCTCGTTCGCCAAACACACCTTGCATCGAACCACCACCATGGATGAGGAATACGATGTGAGGAGACTCTACTCAGAATACCATCATCCCAATGCCCTTCTAGGTCATCGTTCTTGGCACTGGCCTTACCGAATGTATCCTATCAGGCCTCTTGTCCGTCGAGGGCAAAAAGGTCCTCCACATGGACCGCAACAACTACTATGGCGGTGACAGCGCGAGTCTGAACCTGACTCAGGTGCGACCTGACCTTCTCCCCCTTATCGTCCTCCTCATGAGGCGTCTAGCTATACAACAAGTTCCGCCCTGATCAGGCAGTTCCGACCGACCTCGGTCGTGACCGCGACTACGCTGTCGATCTGGTCCCCAAGTTCATCATTGCCTCGGGCGAGCTCACTCGCATCCTCGTGCACACCGACGTCACGCGCTACCTCGAGTTCAAGCAGATCGCGGGCAGCTTCGTTTATCGCGATGGCAAGATCTCCAAGGTGCCCAGCACGGAAATGGAGGCGGTCAAGAGCCCCCTCATGGGTCTCTTCGAGAAGCGCCGGGCCAAGAAGTTCTTTGAGTTTTTGCAGGGCTGGAAGGACGATGACCCTGCGACTCATCAAGGTGTGTCTCAATACACGTTTCAGCGCCGCTACTGATTACTGATCGTCGCCCCAACCCATAGGTATCGATCTGGACAAGGACAACATGAGGACCGTCTACGAGAAGTTCGGTCTCGAGCCCGGTACTCAGGATTTCATCGGCCATGCCATGGCGCTCTACCTCGATGACGAGTACGTGGCTACGATCAGTGGCTCCACGGCTGTCGCTGACCTGTCCCAAGTTACATTACCAAACCCGCTCGGCCTACGTACGATCGGATCGTTCTCTACACCTCCTCTATGGCGCGCTACGGCAAATCCCCTTACATCTACCCCCTCTACGGTCTCGGGGAGCTCCCGCAATCGTTCGCCCGTCTGAGCGCCATCTACGGTGGCACGTACATGCTCGACAAGCCGATCCAGAAGATCGTCACCGATGCCGACGGCAAATTCGTCGGCGTCACGAGCGACGGCGAAACTGTCAAGGCGAAGCAGGTCATCGGCGACCCCAGCTACTTCGGCGCGGGCGGAGAATCGCCGGACGGCAAAGTGCGCGTTGTCGAGAATGGCCGTGTTGTCCGGGCCATCTGCCTCCTGAGGCACCCCATCCCGAACACGGAGGACAGCGACAGCATGCAGATCATCATCCCCCAGAACCAAGTGAACCGGAGGAACGGTGCGTTTAAGATCACAGGAAGTGGAGACGGCGACTGACTTATAGCAGATATCTACGTCGCCTGTGTTTCTGCCACCCACAACGTCTGCGCGAAGGATGTGTACATCGCCATTGTGTCGACGATCGTGGAGACGGACAACCCACACACGGAGATCATCCCGGGCTTGAACCTGCTCGGACCCATTTCTGAACAGTGCGTCACGTTCTAGTATCTGTTGACCGAGATCTTGATGTTGAGCAGATTTATCACCGTCTCGCCTCTTTACACGCCGACCACCTCCGGCGAAGCGGACAACATCTTTGTGACTCGCTCTTACGATGCTACGTCGCACTTCGAGACCGTTGTGGACGACGTCAAAGATGTGTGGAAGCGTGTCATGGGATCCGACCTGGTGTTGAAGAAGCGTGAAGCCGAGGTACAGGAGTAATAAGCAGGTGCTCCTCTCAGCACTGCCAGTCGTTTTTGGAATACAGCATTTCTCTTGTACTTTTTTACACTCTCCAACTCAGAAAAACGCATCCATATTGAACTCCGGCACAGTCACATTCTGTTTTGCGGATTTCATAAGCTTCCCCAGCCCCGCTTTTTTCGCAGTGAGGTCCTCCTTGTCGTTGCTCGGCTCCTCGACGATGACTGAGGACATCAGTGTTGGTCTCACGGGAGAGCCGGGCCGGGTCCCTGGCAAGGACGGGATCTCCATGTCGATCACAATCGATGACCGGCGGCGTTGGCTGGGACCAAGTGCAAATGTAGGACGTCTCGCAATCGGTCGGTTCTTCTCGATGGACGGACGGTCGAATTGCCACGACCGGACGAGATCCAGTGCGAGTGCTGGACAGCCTACAGACGATCAGTCAGGTCCGTAACCCATAGCCGGCATTGATCTACATACCCATACGGCAAAACACCCGGGCCATCTGCAGAACAAAGTTGAATTCGACCCGTCCGGAAATCTGGCTCGTTCCAGATGCGGCTTGGAGCGTCTTCGAGCGCAACTGCGAAAACAACAAAGCCAGGCTCGGATCGTCATAATTGGCCTGCCCGATGTCTTTAATGTCCAGAGACTCGGCGATGTCGTGCAAGGGAGTGAGGAGGATGCGCACAGCCAGGTCCCGGCGGTGGAGAAGCCAGAAGCCCCAGCAGGCCAGCCATCGATTCCCTTCCTGGAACGCTGTGGGAATGACGGTCTCCTCGAGGATCTTGTGCAGCACGGGACCCTCGTTGCTCTGCTCGACAATCCTGGCCAGCGCCACCGCCAGCTGGAAGTCACGCAGATGCTTTAGGCAGACATTGATCGCATCTTGAAGTGCACCACCGAGAAGGAAGAATGCGGCAGCATATTCTGTATCATCGTTTGAATCAGCACAAACATTCTGACAGACACCTCCGACGGCAGGACTCACCGAAGCGCTGTTTCCCGAGCAGAGCAAAAGCATTCTTCAAAGCCGCAGTGCGCCACCGGGGCTCTGTGAAGTCGTTTGACAGAAACTTGAGCATAGCCCCTTGTTCTTTATGCCAGGCAGATTGTCTCCAGAGACCGTGCACCAACTTCACTTTTCCAAGCGCAAAGTAGAACAGCGAACAAGCGACCGGATCTCTGTTGTCACCAGCCATGAACTCATTCCTGGCGACAATCTCCATCTGCGATCTCTGTAGCGAAGGTGAGCGAACACGATCGTGCTGCATGTAGTGATCGCGCTCACCAGATTTTCGACGGAATTCAACCACAAAGCGACTCCGAGGGCTCTGGCGTCAGCCCAGCACATCTTGTTGTTGCATGCGGCAGCCGATGCTGACAACAGCAGATCTTGGCTCTCGCTGAAGAAAGCCCAAACCATGTCGCGGTATCGCAATCGCTTTCGGGGCGCAAGCGATCCGAGAGAGTCGGCAGTGCGTTCATTCAAGATGTAGAATGACCGCATCGAGATGAGATATCGCAGACCGTTGGAGTCCAGTGCCCTCCGCTGCTCGTCAATCTATGCTGCGTGAGGATGGTTCATTCATTCAACGCCGCCACGACTTACTTCAAGCGTAGTTTGGATAAGTCCGAGCAGATGCGCATTTTCATTCCGCGTAAGATGTTGAAGAGGTTTTTTCTCCAGAGCCGTCATCAAACGGTCGACAAGAGTGCGATTGAAACCGTCTTCTTCCCTGTGATAGATGAGATCAAGTGAGAGATCAGGTGGAAAATACGCACTCATCCTTCGGTTCCGGGCCGTTGAAAAGAAATGTGTACTTTTTCTTATGGGCACCGTTTGGAGCGTTTTTAGCCTCTTTTCTAAGAAAGCGCTCGATCGGCATCGACTGTCGAGTGTTCTCATCCGTCGACCCTTCGAGGTCCTGTGCAAGGTTGAAAATGATGTCTTTGACCAGTTCGACCTTGTCTGGTACCTAATGAGAACTCTCGCACAAGTGACAATCTGATCACGCACCCCAAATTAAACACTGAAGAAGCATCTGAGGATGGTAGTCTTCCAGTGGCCCGTTCCGACGAGCAACATACTCGAACAGGCCTTCCTCTCCGATTTGGCGTTGGCCAAACAAGAACATTTGATGCCCAGCACCGACCAGCAGCGATCCGTTGGCCAGCCAGATTGAATCGCTGATCTGATACGGAATAAAGCTGCGTTTACCAAGGTTTAGTGAATCGGTCTCTAGGCCAAGAAGACAGCTTTTGCTCACGAGCCAATGTCGATCGTCCAACACTTGAGCCAGCCGATCGCCTGATCGAAATAGGTCGACCGCTGCTGGCAGAGGAGTTCCACGTGATGCAGAAATCCCACAGCCAAGATCGATTGCGCATCGGGAGTCGAGCTCCAATCTAGATCGTTAATGGACTCTCTGGAGAAGGAGTTAGATATGCATCTGATTCAGTAGAGACTGACACACTTGTAGACACAGTGGTATTCCAGACCAGTTGCAAACTCCGACTCTTTGGAGTCCCAGATGGTGAGTTCATCTCCTTCCGGTGTCGAGACAACTGAATGAAGGTCAAGACTGTACGGTAGCAGCCAAAGTGAGGACCAGTACCAAGCGCTGTCTTCTTGACCGAACTGCATCTTGCTTTTGTGATCCCAGTCTTGTTGGTTTTAACACTCCCAGTGCACCGCCACTCATTTCTCGTCCTGGTCCAGAAGGCCAGCTCACCCGAATCAGACACACTCAAGAAGATGTCCCGCGCAGCCCAACTGCCCAGTTTGTTCCAAGCCATGGGATCGACGGGCAGGATCATCTTCGGTGTCGACACCGGCAGTGTGCTATGAGCCTCCAGTACGAGACCAGCAGCCTCGACCTTGACCTGGATAACGGAGAAATCCCGAGTGATCCCGAATATGGCCTCAGAACCGCTGTCTGACGGCAGAGAGAACAGGGAGATGATTTCGGGCAGCGAAAGGGCACTGGTGGGTTGAGTACTCAGCCTGAGTTCTTCTCGTGCGCTATCGTATGTCGCATAGCTCCGACCTGGTTGGAGACCGTCAGCTGCATACGGACAGGAGAATATTGGCACGCACCACCGTCCAGAACTACGACCTGATCAGCTGCTCCCCACTGAGCCGCCCGCTGCAGTCCGTGGTTTTGCCCTAGATTCCAAGCTTCGCCACCAGTCTCTCGGATGACGCCAACACCGCTTCCATCCGGAGTTCGCACAAACCGAAGAATTCGTGATTCCTCTGCATTGCGCCATTCTGGCGCCGCAGAGAGAGAGAGCAAGCCTTCTGGATCAGCATCGAAGAAGGACGATGGTGAGAATTGGTACGTCCGCAACGGTGATGACGTCACAAGCGTCAGCGAGTCTGGTTTTGTCCCTGGTAGCAGATGTAGGTGTTTCGGGGCAGAAGGAAACGTCCCCGAGGGAGTTTGCTGGACGACCAGTTGCTTTAAGAGCGTTGGCGGTCGCCGGTCTATGTTCTGGAAACTATGAGTCAAGCCCTGGTGGCGGTGAGGAAAGACTTGCCGCTACTGCAGTGATCACGGCCGAACCGTCATCCACAATTCGAAGAAATAGATCCCAGCCCTCATCCTTGATTTCTTTCATCCGTCGTATACGCGGGTTTTCCTGCGCACTGCTCTCGTCTGATGCTACAGAAAGACATCTGTCGACTATCTGCCTGTCCAACCAGAAGATACTGGAACTGGCGGGCATCTTGCCTGTTATGCTGAATGGTATCGAGGAGAAGAGATCTAGTGATGCATGCAATTGCAGATGTTCGGGTGAGTCCAGGACCGGTAGGAATATGCGCAGTGTCGAGTCCGTTGTAATAGTGTAGAGTATTAGGTCATCCCTGATGCTTCATAAACGACGCGTGCTTTGTGCCTCGAGAAGGAACATACCGGCTAGATGCTTCAGGCTGCCTCCAAGAGACGTCGGTAATAGGCCGTGGATGGGAGATATCTTGTGTTAAGCGCCCAGATGTTGTAGAATATATCCGAAGAGATTGGTTGTCCTGCATATAGAAATCGCTCGGATTGCCTGCGCAACTAGCGAAAAAGACTCACCTTGGCGGTTGCCGCAATATACATAAGCGATGGGGCAAAGCGTGTCATCGTAGGGGTTCCGGTACTGAAAATATTTTCAGAGCTAGATTGCACTCAAGTTGGAACGTTCACGTACGAGATAATCCATTTTTGAGACCATGTTGGTAGATCATTTTCAAGTATCAATGTGTACACAGACAAGCCATGTGTGCTGCCCACAGCAAGCAAACCTGAAGCGATCAGCAAGCTGTTTACAGCACCTAGTGTTCATGTACCGGATTTGCTGTCCATGGATGTGACTTCATGGCCCACAGGAAACACCAAAGTCGAATGAAGCCGCCATGCATTCTGATCGACGCCCGAGAGGGACCACGCCGCTATTCGGGATCCCATCGAGGCGGCAATCTACTGGCGTAGGTCGGAGACGCGACGTTCGGTAACAGATTGACGCACGAGTTTCATGCCGGAGTCGACGGAAAGGCAAGATACTTGGCCACTTGATCCAGGGAACGCCTCCCAAAACGCAAGCACGCGTACGACGGCGAGAGACAGTGCATCGCGGATAACAATGCCATCAGCCGACGCGTGTAGCTAAAAGATATGAGGGGTGGGGTGGGTGATCGAAACGCTGTTGCGGACCAGAAGAGTAGAGTTCGGGAGTTGGAAAGTCTGAAAAGCGTGTTGCGGCGACTGGAGGAGCGAGACCAACGAGAGCATCAAGGCTGCATAGGGCAAGGTCTGTCGTTGACAGGCTCACCTAAACGGGGATGTGATGATGATAGGAGGTGGACGTCATCTCTGCACACGCTGCGCTTTACTCAACCGAACTCAAACCACCATGTTGTGGCCCTTGCTACTGCTGGCTACGCCTGTCGTTCCCTCTCAAATATCTATCTTCTCTCCTACCCTAGTTGACGCTCTCAATGCTGATCCTGACTACACTTCCTTACTTCGCTTACTCCAACGCGCGCGTTTGATCCCGACGCTGAATCGTCTCAACGGGAGCACGTTTTTCGCACCTACAAACGACGCCATCCACAAGGTCGATCTTTGGAATGCAGCTGCTCACGATGACGCCTTCATCATGACCGATAATATCCAGGAGAAGCTTAGACAGCAGCTTTTCTACCATATCATAAATTATACCGTCCCTGCTGTTCCGGACCTCCCCAACCCTCCTCAAGTCTTAAAGACCCTCCACTATCCGCACTCTCCTCTAGAGCCACCCTCAAAGGACCCCCCGCCAAATCCCCCATGGATGCCGGTACCAGGCGGATCATTGGGATCAGAACCTCAGCGACTGCGAGTGGCCGTTCGGGATCAAGGCGCCTGGGTTGGAGTAGATGCTTTTGGTAAGGGTGGAGTGGAGATAGTAAAGGGGAAGATTGACGCAGGGAATGGGATACTTCTCGGCATCAACGACGTCCTCGTGCCCCCACCCGACCTCGCACACCTCGTTGCCGAACAATCCTCGGTGTCCTACTTCCACAAGATCATTACACCCGAGATCGCTGCAATTCTCAATTCGACGTCGGAACTCACACTTTTCCTTCCCGTGGATACTGCGTTCCAATCCCTACACGCTCTGGAACGGTTGTACCTGGAGAGCGAATTTGCCACAGCCGATCTGGTGCGCATTCTGAATGCGCACGCCGTCGTCCGAAAGACGGTTAAATGGTCGGATACCTTTGAGCCCTCCACACAGTGTGAGATTGCTTGCCCTGGATCTGGTCAGAGTTCTGATTTCTTTGTCAGTGAAGACTATTGGTGGAGGCGTTCTGGATATAGTCGTGACGCCAGAAGCGACTAGGGTCTCGGGATCGGAACTAATTCAGCCGGACATCTACGCCTCGAACGGAGTCTTGCATCTCGTGTCTGATCTACTAGTGGACTTGGAGATCACTCCCGAGAAATCGCTGCTTGCGCTCAACTGCACATCCTTTGTGTCTCTCCTCCACTCTGTCAATCTCACGGGGCTCGTGAATGACACGAATGCCAAATACACCATCTTGGCCCCTCGAGACGAAGTTTTTGCGCTTTTCGGCAACGAGGACATTCCAGAACGGGGATCCGAAGAGCTAAAGAAGCTGTTGCAATACCATTTCCTTCCTGGTAAATGGCAGCCGAAGGACTTGCATGATGGAATGCTCTTGGAAACCGCTTTGGCCGAAGAGGGGCTCGATGGGGGCCCACAAGTTCTCAGCATTGGGGTTTCGTCGTCCGACAAGAAGAAGGATGAGCGGTCGATCAAATTTGGAGGTGTCGGCGTCCTTGGAGAGCCGGGTGAGTATCTATTTCCAGCGCTCGGGATGTACTCAAACTTAGTTCCTAGTTCCCTTGAACAACACGCTGATATACTTCGTTTCGCGTCCACTGGTCCGCCCATCAGATGCGCTGGAGGCGCTCTTGCCTCTTCAGGATCTCTCCTTGTTTGTAGCTTCGGCTTTTTCGGCCGCAGTCGCAGAGATTTTGAAGACGACCGCCCGAACTTCGCTCTTGGTCCCGCACAACTCGGCTTTCAAGCGATTGGGCGATCTCGTGGCTGCGCATCTGCTGGCACCGTCGTCGAAGAAGGACCTGGCCAGTGTTTTGCTGCACCACACGCTGGATAGTGTAGAATATGCCAAGTCGCTAAGGAACGGCTCGCACACATTTGCCACGCTGGAAGGATCCGACATCCAGCTGGAGCGTGTTGCGAACGAGACCTTCATCCACGCTAGTGGCGGCTGGAGCGGAATCAAGGCCCAGTTGTATCCCAGTGACATCATCACCCAGACTGGAGTAGTGCACCAGGTGTCGGACATCCTCATCCCCCGCTCCGTCGAGCTCACTGTGGGAAAGCTGATAAAAGCAGCTGATGCCACAGCCATGGCCACAGTTATCAGCAAAGCTGGCATGGACTGGCTCATGGACGGATCTCCACCTCCACCAGAATGGGCCGATGAGCTGGGTTCCGCCGCCGGCTTTACGATCCTGTGTCCTTCGGATGATGCGTTTAGCAGCTACAACCTGTCGCAGCTCTACAACGACGTGCACGGGATCCGTGAGCTGGTGCGCCAGCACGTGATTCCCACCCCGGGTGCGGCGTCCGCGACGGTGGTCAACAACAACCGGCCGCTGGTCATGGAGGACTCTGCGTCGTATAGCACGCTCCGCTCTGGAGCCTCTGCCTACGGCGACATCGTTTTCAAGGAAACCGACGCGGGGGGTTATGTCGTCGGTATCAAAGGAGCGAGGGGGACCAAGGGCGATGATGATTCGGCCAAGGTCCTGTCCTGGGGCCGATCGACCACTGGCGGGGGAGTCGGCGGTGTCATTCTCGTCGACCGCCTGATTGTGCCGTACAACCCGCCGTGGTGGGTCGAGTACGGGGGGCCCGCTTTCGTCGGCGTCTCCGGCATCATCGCCATCCTGCTCTTCTTCTACGGCGTCCGCGTTTTCTGGAGGAGAGACTTCACACAGGCCACATACGAACCTGTTGGCGGATTTGGAAATGATGGCGACTCGTAATAATATGTAGGCTAGATAACTATGTACTTATGCACGTAATCTCTGTATTTCTACCGGGGCGGTACTTATGATATCACACACGCGACGGGGCGGGGTCGATCAATCACATGCGATCAAAAGCCGGCCTCACTTCTTGAGGCGTTGAACCGACTTCCGAGGCACTCTATCCTAAACGCTATGGTCTGCCAGTCCACCACACCCATATATCCCCCCTCTGATTGCTTTTCAGTCTGACGCGCCCTCTATCGAAGAAACAACAACGTCGGCTGTTGACTCAGTCAAGTCCTTCATCGCTGGCGGTTTCGGAGGTGTTTCTGCTGTCCTTGTCGGTCTGTCGCGCGTTTTTCGTATCCGGGTATTCCATCCTGACCGCAGTGCCTGTGTAGGACATCCTTTCGATCTCACCAAGACGCGTTTACAAACCGCATCCGCCGGAACATATACCGGTGCTATCGACGTAGTGAAGAAGACAGTGGCCAAGGATGGGCTCACTGGGTCCGTGGCTCTCGCTCTGTCTGACCCTTATGCTTCGCCATCTCATTGCTATGGACGCCAGCATGTATCGAGGCATGGTGCCTCCCCTGCTCGGTGTCACGCCAATTTTCGCGATGTCCTTCTGGGTCTGCCCGCCGCTCTGCACGTCCTCCCCGCTCTAACGTCGATCGGACACAGGCATACGACGCTTCTAAGCAGATCATCCTCTCGGCAACACCAGACCGCAAGTCGGACAAACTGTCCACCGCTGAGCTGGCCACCGCAGGATTCATGTCTGCCGTCCCGACCACACTCGTCACGGCGCCCGTCGAGCGCGCGAAAGTGCTGCTCCAGGCGAGCTTCGTCTACCTACTTCCCGGGGCGTCGTTTGTTGACATCCAGTCCTAGGTCCAAGGACAGGGCGGCTCCGAGCACAAGTACAAGGGCGTGTTCGATGTCATGAAGCATTTGTACAAAGAAGGAGGATTGAAGAGTATCTTCAGAGGATCGGGTGCCACTCTGGCCCGTGATGGTCCTGGAAGTGCTGCGTACGTGGACAACAAACCAGACACCCTTACCACCAAACTCAAGCTGACGAACTGCTAGCTACTTTGCTGCGTATGAGGTTACGAAGGGGCTCCTCACACCTGCAGGCGCATCATCGTCCGAGCTCAACCTGGGCGCTATCATCATCGCCGGTGGCACGGCCGGAGTAGCCATGTGGGCGCTGGCCATCCCTCCCGATGTGAGCGTCCACGCACCAGGCATGATCGAGGTCGTCTGACGGTCAGTAGGTCCTCAAGTCGCGGCTGCAGTCCGCACCGACCGGAACATACTCGGGGATGATGGATTGCGCGCGGAAGACCATCGCGCAGGACGGAGTGAAGGCGCTGTGGAAGGGCTTCGGTCCGGCCATGGGCAGGGTAAGTCGTCGTCGTTGTCGATCCGGCCCGATCTTCCGCTATTTATTAATCATCGCGCGTTTTCGCAGGCCTTCCCCGCAAACGCAGCCACCTTCGTCAGTCTTATCATCCCGATTCCCACGCGTGCGCACCTACTAATAAAATCAACTCCGCACAGCTTGGCGTGGAGGCATCTAGAAACCTGATGGACAAATTTTTCTAAAATCTGGGTAACAACAGGGCCCCTGGCTACTCCCTCCCAGGTCAGTCCGCCTCTAGAGGCTGAGCTGTACTACCAAATCAGCTGTCCTGAGCGTTGATTTGTATACTATATCGGACCAAGGTCTACTAAATTTGGATAAATTTCGAGCTTTTTGTAGTGATTTGAGCCAAGTTCTGCCCAATTTCGTCTTCTCTGAGGCTGAGGCGCACTCCACACGATCTGAACGGTCTCAGTAGATACATGACCTGCTTTTGACTCCCATCTAGCACTAAAGGACGAGGGCAACTGCACAAAAAGTTGCTGTCCGTGGCCGCGATTTGCACTATTTCAGCCTGAGATTTAGCTCATTTACAGTTTTTTAGACTGAGATATGGCCGTTTCGGGGTTTGATTTGTACTATTTCGGACTGATTTATTCGATACTTAGTAGCCGGTGGCCTGTCACAACTTAATTTTATTGCTCGCATAACAACCTGAGAGTGCTGCACAAATCTACAAGCGTCTACGTTTGTTTGGCCAGAGCGTTGACCTGAGCGATCTCCTGTGCGGACGCACCCACGGCGTTCTGACCATGGGTCAAGAGGTCAGTCGACATCTGGAAGGTCAATTTCATGCGACTCGCCTTGATGACCTTGGCCTGCTGGTGAGCAACGGTGCCGGCGGCAGAAACCTTGACTCCATTGGCAGCGTTGACACGAGCCATCTGTGACAAATGGTCAGTCTGAATCAAGAAATTGTAGCAGGTCTCGGACGGACCTGGAACTGCAGGAAGAACTTGGGGCCCTTGATTTTGTTCAGCAGAACCTTGTTCGCACTGCTCGAGGGCTGCGACTGCAAGACGATACGTGAGCCGTCTGTTTGCTTGGCAATCTGCGTGGGAACCTACGCGAATGCCCGCCTCCAAGGCCAAGTAGTCGTTCAGCTGATTTTGGAGGGTCGCGACATCAGCCTGGGCCGGGTTGGTCGGCGTCGTGAACGTCGCCCTGATCGAGCCATCAGTCAAGGCCCCCGGGGGGAGATGTGCACCACGCACAGCGCAAAGCCCAAGGGGGATTTCGACGACTTCTGGAAATCAATCGTGCTCAAGGCGATCCCACCCGAGGTGACATCCGGCACGCCAGGCACGATCTGCGTCTGTCGGCATCCGGTCAGAACCAAATTGCAGCCGCAGCGGGGAACCTCGGATTTCGGCATACCTGGGTGTTGCATGTGACGGCTTTCGCCAACGCGGGGACACCGGTGGCCACTTCCGCCGGCAGCGCGGTGGATCCTGCGCCCCGATGGATGGATGATTAGGGGCTTGAAGATCGCGACGCGAACGAACGCACCGGTGATGAAGCACGCCTGCGGGTTGGCCCGGGGATAGTAAACAGGGCCTGCGCGCGCCGTGTCAGCCAAACCGCATGGCCATCCGCGTGATCACTCACGAGCCAAGGTGGCAGACACGAAGAGCGCAAGGACGGTAGACTGGAAAAGCATTTTGCGGCACGAAGGAATGTGTATGTGAGACGCGAAAGAAGGTGGGTAGCAAAGGCACGAAAAGGCTGTGAGGAACCGGTCCTAGAGGAAGAATGAGGAGGCAAAGCTGGAGCCGTCATGTCCCCGCCATTTGTTTTTATAACGGTCTTTACACAGCCACACAGGCTGAGCCGTGTGACACCTCGCTCGTGTCAGCTCGTGTCGCGGTGCCAACGGACGATCTTCGGTCGCATGGCCAGGTGCCAAGGTTGTCAATCGGCAGTGATCATTATGCAGGAACGAGCTGTTCGATTAGATGCGATTAGATTATGTCCATACGATACAAGCCAATATACTGCAAGTAACTAGGTAAGACTCAGATATACAATCACGATAGACGACTCAAATGAGCCGCTAGATGTCTTCGGAGTACACTTCCGACATGAATACCTCATAGAGCTTCTTGCTCAACGCAGATCCGATAGCACGAACCCCACCCTCCGCACCGCCAACGCCTTTCAGCATCTGATTCGCCTCGGTGATCTTTCTCTTGTTGCGCCCCTTGGAGGGACCCCCGGCCAAGGCCTCTTCGCGTCGCTCCAGAGCCTCGACCTGCTCCGCTTCCTTCAGGGCTTCCCAGAACAGCCGAGGGGTGGGCCATCGCTCAATCACCGCCCCCACCTTCTCCGCACTCATCCCTTTGACGCACAACAGCATTCTGGCCCATGTGTCCCGCACAGTTGTAAACCCAGACTTGGAGTTGAGTGTCTGAAAGTCCCTGAGTGAGGTCACGTAAGTCCGGTCCGGGTGTTTATGGCCCAGAAATCTCCTGAGCTCTAGATAGGAATGCCGTTTGATCATGTGCGAGGGAATGACATGGAGATCCTTCATCTAGACGGCGGTCAATCACTGCCCAGATCCTGTTGCCCTACGAACCTGGTGGGCACGAATCAGTTGCTCGGTCAGCCCAGTGAGGTATTCGATAGTATCGTCATGGCTCTTGGTCTCTTTCACGAGAAAGCCATCGACCACTTGAGTCGACGATAACGCTGTGTTGATCTGAACCCCCCAGTTTTCCCTCTGGTGTACCGCATTGTATTCCTCGACAAGGTAAAGAACGCGGGATACCCCGCTTTGGTGCAGGCGGAACTGGAACGAGACGATAAACATTGAAAGCGCAATGAAATGACGACGTCACAAACCTTTTGCTCGTGAAAGCGCCCGTCTTTAATCGAGCCCACTAGATCATCGAGTCGCTTGCGTTCGAGAACAAAATCAAGGACACAAGAGTGGCCACCGCTTTTGCTCGTAGCGATCCAGATAACGTCGCCGAGTTCCAGCGACTCGGTCTCAACGGCGAGCCCATTCCTCCGCAAACGATTGCGCATGGCATCACGGTCTTGATGGGCGCCCCTTTCCCGGTGGTCCAAGACCAGCGTGATGTCATAGTCCCCCGCCCGCATGATATCAGGAGAAAAGTCAGGGAAGTCTGTCTGCGCCGTGTAGATAGAATGCTCGACGGGAGGCAAGTTTGGGGTAGCGTGAGACAGTCTCGGTCGCGAGGTCGGATTCCCGACGGCAGGTGCGGATTTCGTTCGTTGAATCGGCGGGACTGCTCTTTCTGGTGCAGTGGTCGCGGTCGCGGCACGAGAAAGAGACCGAGATGGTTTAGCAGGCACTAGGGCCTGTGCTTGATGATTCACGCGCTTTGCTGCAGCCGTCTGGGTTGGTGGGATGACTTGCGAACTTGACTCCCCCCTGTTAGTTGTCTGCAGATAAGTAGGAAGTTGCCTCGACGGATCGATGGTGTTGCGAGGTTTTTGTGTTTCAGCTGCGAGAGCCTCGAGCAACTTCGATGAACCGTGTTTGATTGCCTTCGAAGTTGGCTTGGGCTGAATTGAAAAGCCGGGGCATGAGCGCAGCCCTTCAGCGAGCAGCTCCGGCATTTGAGCAACGATGCCGTCATCACGGCGCGCGACCACAATCAGATGAGTAGCCAGCGGATGTCGCTCCATTGAAGGAGGGTACATAACCTTCATCCATAATTGTGAATGTGCGTCGAAGGTTGTCTCGGCTTGTATGCTCTCTCGAACAGGGTTTTCTTTGCTATCTGCGCATGTGTGCATGATGAACGCGGATTCTGAGAAAAGACGCAGTAAGATTTATACCCAGATACCAAAACTTGAAACTCTTAGGATCTTCGTCATGCACCGTTGAGTCGGCGACTCGAGGAAGCTCAGGCACACTGGCGGTCCGCCGCTTGGTTACTGGAGCACCTGTTTCGACCCCAAGATCTGTGACAGATCGCTTTAACGGGCGGGCAGGGACTTTGGAAGCCGCGGCTGGAGTGCGCTGCGGGGCGTCCTCGTCGCCTCGGAGGCGCTTGGCCACGGCTTTGACGATCCCAGGACCGATGCCCTTGACGGATATGAGCTCCTGGGGGTCAGAAAATACAGTTTCAGCCGCTTGGAGTCCTTTGAGGGCCCTGTTGTAGATTGCCCATTGGTGTCCCTCGTCTGGAAAGGGGATGAGGGGCACATGCCGAGTTCCACCGTGCCGACCGAACCTGGATCCTTCTCATCCCTTAGCTCCTGTAGAATGCGCTCGAAGACGGGGTTCAAGCTGTCTGCTTTCCGCCTCGGCATTGTGGTTTCAAGAGTCAAGTGAAGTAAAGGAGGAACGCTTCACGTCATAACGAGTAGCGTGACAACTACCACATGATGTGACCAGTCGTGAGCATCTAACCTGGATAAGTATATAATACATACATACATTGGATGAGTGAATAATCTATGAAAGGCCTATTGTATCGGCAGCCAGCTCGATGGAATTTTTTGAACAGATTCTGCCCACTGACTCAGCCTACCCTGTTCCCCTTGCTCAACAAAGGAGACACCGCCAGTCAGCTTCTTGGCTTGCTCTTGCTTGAGACGTTTCTCGGCGTCACACCAGAACATGACCCAGGGGCCCATTCTGAGATGGCCGGAGCTGCGTTCAAAGTACCATTTGTTGACTGGATTGTCCGCGCGGCTGCGCCAGACAAGATCACGGCCTTCGCCCACACCGCCTTTTCCGCCGTTCGGGTTTGCAGAGAACGGGTGTCCAAGTCCATACGACTCATCGTGCAGTGCGACCCACAGGAAGTCGACGGTCCCGTCGCCCTGGTGACTTGGGAGAACCACGAATTTGTCCAGGTACGAGATGGGAACAGATGAGCCCGGATTTAGCTCGTTGGTCACGATCGCAGCACCGGCATAGTCGCCGGCGACGATGACAAAGTCCAGCGTCTGCTCCAGCCGCTTGTAGAAGGCAGCCTGATCGAGAGTCCGTCGGAAAGATTGCTCGAGCAGCCCATCGAGCTTTGCACGGTCGATCTCCTCGACAGAGCGCAGAACACGGATCGGTGATCCGCGACGGAGAAGCGTGGGTGTATGCGTGTTGAGCCGTTGATTGCCCTGCAGTAACGCATGCGGTAAGCTTGAGCTTAACGCAGGTTTGTTCGTTATCAGATTGGCGATTAACGAACTAGGAGATCGGTGCGAGACCATCACAGCAGACGAAGTGGGGGGCATGTAAGACAGACAAGTCCGGGCTAATGCCAGATTAGCCAAGGCCGTCGGATGCGTCGTTCGCCATGGATCGTGAAAGGTGTCGTTGATGAAGGAGTATTCGGATGTAAGGTTGATCAAGAGGTGAGGCATTCCAGAGCGCGCGTACGATGGCACACCCCCTTCGCGATTTATGATCATCAGCCGCAGAGGCGTAAGGTTTACTTCCTCATCCAGGTCGTTCTCGGCAGCTTCTGCCATTCCACGCGCAAGAGCACCGAGAACATCATTGGCATCCACCCGCACAGATCGGCAGAAGGAGTCCAGGGCAAAGGGTGGGATAACGGGGATCTCCCCCGCACGAAGAGCAGAACGGATGGGTACAAGATCCGAAGGGAAGGTGTGTGCCTCGGGAGTGATATCTTCGGGCGAATCCTCGTCACCCGGTTTCGGTCCAAGCTTGGCGATGGTCCCAAGGACAGGCCGTGCACGAGCTCCCTGCTTTTCCAGCGTCGTGACGATGCGCATGGTCTCCTCAACCAATGATGACCGCTCTTCCTGATCGCCTCGGGCAACAGCATCATTCTCCACCACGATGACGCTGACGAGACCCAATTTCTCAAGATAGACCAGACCACGAGCGATGCTCTCCAGCTGAACGTCTGTGAACGGCCCCTGAATCTTGACCAGTGCGGTACGACGGATGACAGGGTCAAGAATCGACGAAACGACGGGACTGGCTTTCACGCCATCTAGAATGACGGGAGTCGCCGACGCGATAGGGACATTTGGCTCGGCTGGGATGACTTGCTCGACCAACGTGGGGGGCTTCGGTCGGGGGCCGAAAGACGCGAGGTAAGAGCGCGTATCGCGGAGGGAGGGATTTGCACGGAGGATGGAAACGATGAAGTCCTGTAGATGCCGAGCTTCAACACGAAGTTCCCCGTAAAGATGAGCATAGAAATACATTATCTGACGGTAAAGTGTCTTCAGGGTCTGGGGCAGGTTGCCTTAGGCCGCGGATAGTCTACCGAAACGATGAGCAATGTAGAGACGGCAATGTTCGGCCACGGACAGCGTAGGATGCCCTGCGCCCCTGCGCGGCCATCAACGAGCGCGACGACGCACGGTACGACGGTATACGGGGTAACATGGCTAGGTGAGGTTGGAAGCTAGCAGGGGATCCAGCAAAAAGTCCTGAGTCATGAATGGGTTGAAAGCAGGCAACTGATATACACGACCCCCGGTCGCTAAAAAAATTGTTCAGTCAGGCGCCCGTTCGCACTGTGATGCATTCCGGTTCATGAAACGCTTCTTGGCGCTTGATTTTGCTCCAATCGCTCATTACTATTGATCGCAACTGACAGGTGTTTCTGCACCATAGAGGTGTTTTCAGTCGTTAGAGCCATTTAATGCATCTATTGCCTTCGGTTTTTTTTCAAATCATTCCTTATATACTCTCAAATGATTGTGCAAAGTCCGAGAGCAATCGGGCAAGTGCAAAGAATTGCTCGGCGCTGCCGGCGCATCAAATGAGGTGTTCTCAAGCTCATCTCTGTAATTCCAAGCCTCCCGTTGGTCATTTCAGGCCGGGTAAAGACGAGCAATATATTATTAAGTATCTAAATCGTATTCGATACACGCTTTGCTATTCCGGGCTTGCAATGGATGTGAGCAAGAGGAATTACATGTGTGGTCACAATTGTCACACTGACACAGTGATGACAGTGTGATGGCCAAACCGGCAATTGATCTTGTGCTCCCCGAGTCGCGTCAACACTCACAGAAGAAAGAATATAAGTGTGAAGTAGATACATTACATGTATTGACGACATGTGAGAGGTGCTAGACCCAGGTGGAAAGGTCCTCGAGCCATTAGTAGGTGTATAGTTTTATAAGTGTGATGTATAATGTGGATTTCAAGTCCATTGGAAACCAGATGTGTATGGTACAGGAGGCAGGAGTGAGAAAGTCGAAAAAGGATCCAAAACCAATGTGTAAGGTAGCGTAGGCTGCTGAGGAGCCAAGGACGGAGCAATCAGAGGTTGAGATGATGGGCCAGGAATAGGTTCCGACGCCAGACACACATGGCTGTCAATCAACGTGTTTGATGCGCGGAGCTTGAATTGTCACGCTTTGGCTGATCACCCTTGCTCACATCCATTGCAAGCCCGGAATAGCAAAGCGTGTATCGAATACGATTTAGATACTTAATAATATATTGCTCGTCTTTACCCGGCCTGAAATGACCAACGGGAGGCTTGGAATTACAGAGATGAGCTTGAGAACACCTCATTTGATGCGCCGGCAGCGCCGAGCAATTCTTTGCACTTGCCCGATTGCTCTCGGACTTTGCACAATCATTTGAGAGTATATAAGGAATGATTTGAAAAAAACCCGAAGGCAATAGATGCATTAAATGGCTCTAACGACTGAAAACACCTCTATGGTGCAGAAACACCTGTCAGTTGCGATCAATAGTACACGCACCACGGCTATTTTCGCTCAGCTCTCGACATACGAACACATTCGCCATTGGTTGCGGCCAAATCGCGCTCTATCAGCCCAAGTTGCACAACTTGGCGTGATTCACTTTACGTGCAAAGGCTGCGGAACTGGGTTCTTGCCGAGCTAAAGGTGGATCAACGTGTTGATGCCGCAAGATGCATGTAACGACGTTCCAGCTTTCAGCAGATTGGCGCTCAAGCCGTTGTCAGCCCTGAGTATGGTATCTCCTGAGCGGTTATTTTATAAACGCCCAATCGTTGCATCCATTCGCCAGACGCATCCAAGTCACAGCAATTCGAATCATTTAATGCGTCATGATAGATATAGATTCACTCGTCCAGCTTCGCCTTCTTGCCTTCACTGGTCTCCCCCTCGTCGTCAGCTTTCCGTTTGGCCGGTGAAGATGCCGTCTCAGGGATAGGCGCCTTCTTCTTCTTCTTGACCATCCCGGTCAGATCGTTCACGGTGGCCGAACCCCCAGCTGTTCCGATGGCATTGTTCAGTTCTGCATCAAGAACCTGAGCCGCCAGTGTCGGTGCGTCCTTCCTGGGTTCATCTGGCCGTGTCTTCAATTCCTCCACCTGGGCGCCAAATCACGTCAGATGTCTCTACATGAATGTTTGTGGCGCACCTTGATTGCCAAATCCTCCTTCAATCCCGCTAGCTCTTTCAGCTCAGCCTCCACTTTTGCGGGCGACAATCCCGCAACGTCGTCTCGTATCAAACGCGTCGAGATGGCCTTGCCCTTGCCCTTCCCTTTAGGGTCGGGGGCAGCCAAGACGGGTGTCTGCCCTTCGGGTGGTGGGCTCGTGAGTGCCTCCATCCGACAATGGATGCTCTCCAAAGCCAGTTCAGCCTGAGTAATGGCGTCTCCCAGTCGTCCCGAAGTGAGATCAAGCACCATGCTCAATTTATAGTGAGCTTCAGCGATTTGCCGCGAACTGCGTGGTAGCAAGTCCTTTTTCAAGTCCAGGCCGGCTTCGTAGTCTGTAATAGCCTGGTCGAATTTCTCTGCAAAGTCTCTGAGGGCTGTCGGTGGATGTCAAGCAGAGTATCGGGCACCTGTTTCGAGAGAGACGTCCCCCAATGCGATATAAGTGTCTGCCAGCTTGAGTTGCACATCCTCATTCGATTCTTCCTCATTCTGCTTGGCGTATATCGCCCGTGCTAGATCTAGCACCTCCCAAGCCGCATTGAAGTCATCTTCCGGCTCTCCATCTTCGTCGCCCTCCCCTTCCCGTTCGTCTTCATCGTCACCGTCGACCATGTTCTGCGCAGCGCTGAGCAGGTCCACACCCTCATCGTCCGCGTCACCCGAGAAGGAGAGTATCGGCCCGTTTTTGGAGTTGGACTCTTTTCGCGTAACGTCAGAAAAGATACACGAATGGGTGGCGTGCCACGCACCGACAGGCTCGTCCTCTTCGACACCGTTCTCGGGCTCATTCTTCCCGAGCACAGAGCTCTGGGAGATCGCATTCTCCAGCAACGCTTTGCCATACGAGAAATAGAGATCCGCGGTCTCCGGCGCGTCGTCACCGTGTGTTTGTGTGCTGCGACGCGTCAGATGGGCAGAAAGCAGCCCTGAGGACACGCGACATACACAAGCTCCAGTGCAGTCGCGTAGTGGTCGACCGCTTGCTCGTATTTTTCGAGTGCGAAAGCGCGTTTTGCTTGCTCGATCGCGGCCTCCAGTGTCGTCGCACTGGTTTCACTGTTGGGATTGTGGGTAGTCACGCGTTCGGAGACGCGACTGGAGAGAACGCACGTCGTCATGGGTATTATCAGCAGCGGTGGTCAGTATATAGGAGTGTCGGTGTGAAGGTGTTAGTTGTGGTGGCAGAGAAGCCGATGATGGCGATGTTTGGACGCGACTTTGTTCACGCGATGCAGCGGGGCTTTTGTGACGGATCCTTTGTGACTTTGTCTTTACCCGAGCTTTGATGATGGCGCTCAAGAGCTGTCAGCGCAAATTTAAAACTGCCTGTGGCTTCATCCCCCTCGCTCCGTACTCCGGCCCCGCTCATAGACCGCCATGACTTCATCCGCGACTCATGACTTGAACTCAGGAGAGTGCTGCCACCTCAAGTGCATTATCATTGGAGGAAGTATTGCTGGTCTCTGTGCAGCATACACTCTCCGTGGTTCTGCACATGAGGTGATTGTTCTGGACAAACGTGATGACTGTGTCGATGTGGGTCCCTTCTATCACTGACCGTCTGCTGTATGGATGATTGGGATTTCTACCAAGACGCATGGCGGTGTCCGAGTTCCGCCCAATATGTCACGGTTGTTGGAGACATTGCCCGGAGGCAAAGAGTTGTTGCGAGAGCATGGTATTGAGTGTGAAGGGTGATGTCCGTTACTCTTCTATGCAACGACTTCTTATCTCCATTCTGCAGGATGACTTTCCTCGAAGGTTGCGAATGCGCTTAAGCCGCCGTCTGAGTCTCACCCATTCCTTCATTCAGGCGAATCCTCCAAGGTCATTGGCCGAATGGTGTTCATCGACGAAGTGTTGGAAGATCTGGGGTGTAAATTCTGGATGATTGCCGTGAGTTCCTCCGTGGTTCCTTTGATGTTGTCTACTTGACAGATATATGTCCAGTATGACGTTCTGATCCAGTATCTACTGGGTCTCTGCCGCAACGCAGGCGTTCAGCTCAAGTTCCAGACGGAGGTTACAGCGGTACATGCGGCACATGGGCAGAGACCAGCAGTGGTAACGATTCTAGGCGACCGCCTGGACTGTGATCTGGTACGCCACTCAAGTGCTTCCACGGAATCATTTCGATCGTGATCTCTTACGTTAGCTGGTTGGGGCTGACGGCCGAGATGGAATCGTCATGGGCGCTATCAACCAGCAGTCGGAACAGGACGAAGACGACTACGACAGCGACGGGGACTCGATCTCTGAGAAACAGAGCAGCGCAGGAGTGTCTGAGATTGTTTCGTGAGTGTGGCTTGGCACGTGACATTCTTCCATTGATCGACTTGGCACATGAATCAGGCATTCTTATTCCATCAGCCTTTCTGCGATGCGAGATGACCCTGCACTAGTCTCACTTGCTCAGACCAATGAGGTTCGCCTGTTTTCTTTTCGCTGATCGTTAGCTTTCTGATCTGGTTCTAGTTTATGATCTGGCCTGGCGCCAACATTCTTGTCACTGGGCACAAGGTTCATGGCAGTCAATCTACCTACCGCGGAGGTTAATTATTCCCAGTCTGGCCATGATCTGTATATTCTGACGTGTACTCGCGTCACTGGCATTCTGCCCGACGATGTTGACACAGACTGGGACCCAAATGCTCGACCTACCGTCGCAGCCGATGTGGCCCTTACTGGACTAGAACCTCGGTGAGCTGCACGGGTGAAACCAGTCAAGAACGCGCTAATTCGCACCTCAAGTGTCGAACGATTATTCAAGATTGCGCATCATTTCCATTCGACGATACAACGTGTGCCGATCGTCCGTCGCATCGTGCATCCCACGGGCCTAGTTGTCATTGGGGATGCCGCCCATACCATTACAGTGAGCATTCTTCACGACCGATATTGACGTATCCAACGAAGCCTCTACAGATCAACGCCACACACAATTCGTAAGTTCTCTTCCGGCCTTCAATGCATTCTAGTCAAAGATGGTTATTCCGTGTCTCAACAGATCGATGGCTGTAAGTGGTGTGCTGCTGCTTTCTTGCCATCTCTGACTCTAGTTTTCTGCAGGTGGAAGACGGCTTTGCCCTCGGTCGCGTGTTTTCTCATGTCAGCTCCCCCCACCAAATCCCGTATCTCCTGCAAGGCTATCGACAAGTCCGCTTTGCGCGTTCCATGGCAACGGAGGCATCTGAACTAGGGGCATTCATTGTCATCACTTTCCCTCCTGGGCCAGCGCGCGAGATGAGGAATCAACAGCTGTCGCTGTCGCTGGTCAATGTGGATGACATCTCGGATGACATCCTGGCTGCAACCTGGGGCACGTACTTGGTCCAGTTCGATTATGATGCGAACGAGGCAGTGGATGAATGGTGGTTGATGGGCAAGTTTAATATGCCTTACTGAAAATAGAGACACATACTCACACATAGGAGGCTGCTTATCACTCTCTATGTTTATATCCACGACAGATTCGTTTACTTACTTCTGTATCTCTCCGAAATACAGAGAATTTACCGGAAAGCCATGTTGCCCTTGTCAATCACGCGGCCGTGATGCAGTGATGACTCGATGCGGTAATCGCTCTCCGGAAGCGATCATACATGCACCTCCAAGTGCAGCACTTATGGGCCGAAATATCGAGACAAAGGTCGTTCTGTCCTTTGCTTTCGTACAACAAACTCAACTTTGCCTAGTTCTACCAGCAAGATGTCGTCCGCCGAGTCACATCTCCCACCTCACAATCGCCGGACGGCCAGGGTGTTACTGGGATTGTTATGGTAGATCTCATTTCTCGTTTCCCTTCACGGCTGGACGCAGGCGTAGAGATGCTGGCATGACGTCGAAGAGATACCGCCAGCAACTGCCCAGAGCGATCCGCTCATGCGACCACTCAGCCAGGGAGAAGTCGGTGCGTAGTGTGCATCGCGTGCCGCTCAGTTCATGTCCGCGCGTACACCAGCCACTGAGCACGACCGCAGGCGTATCCTTCTTCCGAGACGCCGACAGCTCCCATCGTCATGAATTCGATCGACAGATACTGCCCGAAGCCGAGCTCGTTCTCGTCGACCGGACATTCCATCCCGGCGATTTCTGCAAGCGCACGGTCGACGGCCTCGTCTCGGGAGTCATCACGGAATCGACTGTAGAGGGACGATGCGAGCATGTTGTCACCGGGGAACGTGTCGGGGGTTGGACCAAGCTTGAAGAACTGGCGGACCGGACGTATGCAGAGGTGGGGGACCTTGTGGTGGTGGACGATTGGATAGGTTGATCGGGTTTCTCATCTTCGTCTTCTCTTCTCGCTTTTGACTCGTGTTCGCGTATCACAGGTCAGGTCATCGAGGTACGGTGCCATCGGCAGCTTGGAATTGAGTACTCAGTGCGGCAACCAGCTTTACGATGAAGTCCTCGTGGAGACATCGAACAAGGAGATCGTGCGTCTCCCAGAGCTGGGGTCCCGGCTATCTATCGGCGAGCGAGGTCCGGTACGTCACACCCCTCCTTGTGCACACATGAATTGAGCTTGCGTCAGGACATTCTTCCTGCGCCAGCGTCATCAGTTTACAATCTGTTTGGATTTCTGCTTGGAAACACGCGACCAAGCTCGCAAGACATGTGTGTGCAAGTCACTCACACGGTGTACGCCATAACCTGGCTGGCCATCAGTCAAGCCGTGAGTGCGTGGCATGCGACGGAGAGTGCGGTTTGAATGACCCGGTTCCCCAGCTTGATCCGGCAGTGACTGCCACGCGACAGCGACCGCAGCAGTTCTGGACTGCCGAGGACATGTCGAGGTTGACGCTTATCCGAAGTGTCTCTGACCTTGCGATGCGAGTGGGCGATCGTGTAGAGTTCAAAGACCCGGATAAAGTTCCCAAGACCATGCATGGCCCAGAAAACGGGACCCAGATTCCGATCCAGACATTTGCGGTCACGGAGACTCGCACTCATGTGCAAGTCCTATGGCAAGATGGGACAAGAGAGACGTTGCGTTCGACGGAGTTGATTCCGTATCTAAATCCGGACGAGTACGACTGCTGGTGTGTCTTCATGAGACTCTGTCCTTTCCCCCTCTCACTAGCCGTAGGCCGGGCGACTGGGCGCTCTGGAATCGGGAAGACGAGAACCAAGCTGTCATCATACAGGCCGTGAATCCGGATCGCACTGTATCGGTGCTTGTCCCTGAGACGGGGAAAACTGAGCTTATCTCGGCTCTGGAACTTGATCCCCACGGCGTGTCCGATGCAGCTGCCATCCACGATTCGCCCTCGGATGGACTCGGGGTCCGGCGCGGGGACTTCTTGTTTGTCCATGCCGAGGGTGGGACCAACGGCTCGCGTGCTGCTGCGCGGGTGCCCAGAATAGGCGAGGTCGAGGCTTGGGTCCGAGACGTCCCCGTAGTGAATGAGCAGCTCGTCGGCTTTCGCAAGGAGATGTCCGAGATCGGAGAGAGCATCGCACGCCGGCGGCAGCTCGAGAACATTGCAGAACAACCGATTCTGCGGCCTCTTGGCTCTGACGAGAGCCTGTTTTGGCTGGGCGAAGTATCCGACGTAAGTGTTTGCTCTGCCCCCATGCTCAACGACGAATCGAGCTGATGGAATGGCAGATCAATCTCGATGGGACGGTTCAGATAGTACATCCCAATGGGACGGCCCGGGCGTATCCGTTGCACCGATTGACAAAATTGTATGACGGTATAGACCAACTTGAAGACGACATGTGGGACCAAGCATCGAACGGTGACGATGTCCAGTTCTGGTCCCTCGCAGACGGTGACTGGGAGGAAAACAGCAGCGACGGGTCGTGGCCTAAATTTGACGATACCGCCGAATTCGACAGCCCTGAGCTGCATGACGAGGTCCAAGACGCCTCAATAAATGACGAACCTCCCGATGTCCCAAGTGCACCTCCCGAAGAACCTACGCTCGACTTGGATGGGCCAGCCGTGCCATCAGAGCCCGAGGAAGATCCGGCCTGGCGGCGGTTCGAAATACTGGCGTCTGCTCCCGTGGACCACGCTTATTACAGCGCAACACCTGCCCGACCTTCGAAACAATTCCTGACTAGGCTTTCCAGAGAGTACCGCACGTTGCTGGGCAGTTTACCAGGCACGAGAACAGGCTAACCTTATCCTGGTCTCTGAAGCTTATCGTTCATGTCAGACTCTATTCTGGTTCGTGCCTACGAGGACCGCACCGATCTTCTACGGTCGCTTATCATCGGACCCGAGAACACACCCTACGAAGATGCACCGTTTGTCATAGATTGGATGCTGGACTCGAATTTCCCGCAGAGTCCCCCGCTGCTGCACTTTCTGAGCTGGACGAACGGAAACGGACGGGTGCATCCCAATCTGTACGAGGAGGGGAAAGTGTGTCTGTCTATACTAGGCACCTGGGCGGGCGACAAGGACGAGATCTGGAACGCGACTCGGTCCACTCTGCTGCAGGTGTTGGTCAGCATCCAAGGCCTCGTCCTTGTCAAAGAGCCGTACGTCGCGACAGAGTTTTGAGTTTGATCGCCTCGCTGACCCCGACTCAGCTGGTTCTGCGAGCCGGCGTACGAAAAGCTGCGTGGCACTCAGGAAGGGATAGTCAACAGGTGGGTTGCCGACTTCGAATTGATGTCGGCGGCGACTGCTGACTGGGCTGTCAGCCGCCTCTACTCAGAGAAGGCGTATGTTCTATCGCGGGGATTCGTCCGACGCGCGCTCGAATTAGCTCCGGGAGGGTTGGAGAGCGAGATCGACTGGTTGTACCGGCGGAGCGGCCGTCTAGATAAGGTGATATCGGATGCGCAGAGGCTGATTGAGAAGAGCAAGCAGGACGGGGAGTCCGGGGGCGACGATTTGGCAGTTCCGCGGCTCAGTGCAGGAGGCATAATTACTCTCAGTAGGACAGTCTCGAAACTGATGAGCCTGCCACCATCTCCGACGTAATGATACTACTAGTACTACTGCTACAGAACGACCTACAACAGTCCAACGTAGTTGCTCTGAAACTAGACATACAACTCAATGATTACACGCATTGTCCTTAGCACTGGCCCAAAAAGGAGTTCTTGGGGAAGGGCTGTTTGAAGTCGTCCCTCCACGTCGTGAGGTTCGGGTTGGTGTATGCCTCCATGTACTCGTTGATGTAGGCTGAAGTCGGGAAGTCTTTGGGGTCACAGCCGACGTTGATTTGATCCGGGTCTTGGTAAACACGGATGTAGTCGATCCGCATGACCGCAGGGAAGACCAAGTTCGCAAAATCGACCTATCAAAACAGTCAAAAACAGTCTGATGTTGCACAGACAGACCAGCGTACGAATCCGAAGTTCTGCGACATCCCCAGATTGGCGATCAGGTAGAGCGGCTCTTGAGGAACGGGTCTGGGGCCGATCTTGACTATATCGTCGGCGACCATCCCGGCCTGATTCAGCGTCCACACGAGTTGGTTGTCTGTCAGGCATTTAATGGTATATCAAGTTCAGCCGCACTCGCCCGTACCAGTGATCCACGAGATGTACGCCCCATCAAACCCTGAGTGCACTCAGTGACAGTTAGACAAGGAGTTGGTCTCCGCGCACCGGGCTGATACTCGAAACCATAAACCGAGAAACAGTTTTCGATCAGCTGATAACACGCTTGGTTGGTGTTTGAAACAACCGAGGTCGCCTAGGTTTCAAGAAGTCAGTGGGGTGCATCTCCCGTGACCTCTCTACCGAATCCCACCTGCTGGAAAGCACCGCCGATGTACGAATTCAGGGTCGAATTCACAGGGTCGGGGATGATCAAGTTCTCGGTCGTGTTTTGCCACAGGTAGCCGTGATTGAAGGGCTGAAACAAGTCAGTTGTCAAGAACAGACGGCGAGAAGCGAACCCACCGCCCACTGCGCAGACTGCGAAACTTGACCACCGATGCCATCTGTGATCTGAGCCTCGAACATGTCGATTTCAGGTGCGCTTCGACCGACAAATGTTCCTGGCATACAGGTCAGATTCCACGCAGGGACCCAACTAGTAGAATTTGGATACCATCTACAAATGCATCAGATTGTTGACAAACCGAAAAAGTAAAACAAACCGGCATGGACAGGGCCAGGGTGCGAACCATCCGGACAAGTACATCTGGTCTGAGTTTCAATGCTATGGGCCATCTTTGTGGAGAACTTGCGGACCTGGACAACCGCATTCCAGGCAAGAAAGACAGTGCGCCACCAACGGAGTTATCGCCGTTGATGGTCGCAGCCGCAGGCAGGCCATTCAGGGTCTGGTTCTGGACTGTGCCCACATCGCACGTATCGTAGGAATATGGCTGGAGTGAGGTCATGTCAATGTTGTAAGGAAAGCTTGCGTCATGGAATGACTTGCCCACATTCCCTCGAGACTGGCGCCGTAGCCAGCCCTGCCGAGGTTTCCCATCGCCCAAACGGCTGGCCAGAGTCCGTGGACATTGTTCGTGCCCGGAAGCTGCACGGCAGCAACTACGATATGCTCAGTCAATGTTGCATGCACGTGATCGTGGCGACAGACCGAAGATTCCTCCAGTAAAACAGAACTTGTTCCACGTCGACAACATTCCACCCTGATACTCCAAGCCATGCGAGGGTGTTTGGGTCAATGTGATCTCGAGCGCACCGTTATTTGTCGTGATAGCGGCCGGATCGTACCACTCCAGGTTGTTTGTCTGCCAGTAGTGCAGATCAACCGCCTCCCAGTATGGATCGTCACCGGGATAGAAACTCCGGCCATCCGTATTGAACTCGTCGCTGAACACGAGTTGCATGGGCTTGCCGGCGGTGTGGTACGAGGCAATCGTGTGCGCTTCCTTGGGCGTATCTCCAGGAACGGGTGAATCAGCCGCACTCTCAAGGCGGCCGGGGAGCGCACATACCAAGGTCGATCAAACCCCAGTTGCCTATGGCGGCAATTTGTCCCGTCTCGTTGATCCCGCCGGCATTGAACCCCCCGAGGAAGGACTGGGTATGCGAGGTAAAGTGGCTGACGACAGGAAATCCAGCACTGCCGTCGGGGCTCTGGATGAGATACGACACGGAAGGAAGCGCCGGACCCACTCACAACAGGGTGACCAGGCCGGCACAAAGAACAAACAGGCACCCGAGATTGGCGATGCCACGGCCGGTGAAGATGCTGCCCCGGTTGCCCTTCCTCGAGTCGCGTTTATCTGCGTTGTGGAGCACATCGTCCGCTTCTGGCCGAGACAAATCAGTTCCCCAAGACGCGGGATCTGGCGCCAGAGAGTACTAATGACAAGCGCGATAATGAGTCCGTCGGCGACCGAGAGAGAGGCTGGGAGTACCTTCTCGACGATATAGGAGTCAGCGGATGTGCGGTTCCCCGGCACGTTGTATGGCGATTGAGATGAATGCCCGCTCTCACTGCTGTTCGTGGACTGCGGCGGTCGAGCAAAGTTACCGTACACGGCGCTGCCGTTATTGCTACTCTGTAGCGAATCGAAACTGCCCGCAGATGTACGTTTGGAATTTGCAATAGGTGTCGTGGGAGCAGATGCCGCTTGCCCGTAATAGCGCCGTTGCGCGTTCGGTGCTAGCTGGGGCATGGCTCGAGAAGGAGAAGAGTTTGACGACACAGAAGCAGAAGGCCCAGTGAAGGGATACTGAGATCGTTTGGACATGTCGACGAAATGAAAGAAAAAAGCAAAAGAAAGTAAATGAGAATGAAAGTTGGGAAAGAACCAGTCGTCGCACAACGGTCAGAGCGTGTGATCATCAGTGAATGTCAAGCTCGCAACCCCGCTTGGTTTCTGACGGCACCCACATCAACGCTCGTGAAACATAAACACCAGTCTCGCACTCGGGTGCAACATTGGATACAATCCTCATTATCAGGTGCTAATCAACTAGTCGAAGCAGCCCACTGGATGAACCCACCGCCGCATACACCTTCTCCAGTCCATCCCAACTCGCGTCCTCGCCTTGCTCCTCTTGTGCCTGCCGCAAACTTCCTACTACCCCCGCGCTGATTTCCTTCAACTCTGGAGACTGGACGCCAATCTTCTGTAACAACAGTGTCTTCTGTTCTACATAATGGATTCTGGTCGGGGGCGTTGCCGACGACGGTGTAGCCATCCAATGGCCCAATGAATCAAGCGCGGCCCTCGCTTTGACGACCTTGTCTCTCTTGGAAAATGTACCCTTTCTCACGGGTTGGTTGCTGTCAATGAGGCCCTCTTCTACGAATATCTCATGAGGCAAGTTGCGCGGGTTCGAAGCACCCAACTCGGAGCTGGGGAGGATGTGGAACCGCTCAGCCCCCACCAGTGTAGACAGCATGTGAGAGACGAGAGGATGCAGTGGGGCGAGATATGGGGTCGTCAGAGTCGTAGGCAAGACAAGCAAGGAGTTGTAGAGGTCTGTAATATGTTGGAAAAGCAGCACAGATGGCCAGGAAAACAAAAACCTATCGGAATGGGAATGTGCGTCATCCTGTGCAGTGCGGGGGCGGAACCGGTCGGTTGTGTCTCGAAGAAAGTGTATAGAGCAAACAACATAACGGCTCTTGTGAATGGAGCCTCGGTCTTCACCAAGCGTTCTTGAAAGAGTTCGCATCAGCAGTCATTACTTGTGAACAGTGTGCACGCACCGAGAAACAATCGTACAGTGACGTTCAAGCAAGCCTCCCTGGATCTGGACTCTATGGCCTTGAAGTGGATCCATTTCCATCCTTGAGAATTCCACAATTCTTTGAACGTTGAGAAGGGTTTCGAATGGTCTTGTTGATATCGCTCATGAAAGCTCAGTAACAGACTGCTGATGTCGTTGCGCAAAGTGGGGACATAGAGGGAAGAAGTAAAATAATTAGGCTGCAGGACCAGATTGCCACGGTTGGCCGATGCCATTACAACGCTCAAAAATCAGTGCGTTGGTCTGGATAAGATCAAGAATTTCAACTCGGCAATCATCACAAATTATGATCAGGTGACACGACATCGCTTTCGTCAAACGCGGTTCACTCTCTCGGAGTCGCGCTTCTCATTTCATCCATGTTGCGGAGGCGGTCGAACATAATCAGCTGCTTCTTCTGCCACAACACCGTATCTCCGGCGGACCCCCAGAGCTTCCGATGCCCTCATTGCCACTGCCTGAATCGCTTCGTGAACGGTAATGTCGAAGAACCGGCCATGCACGATGAAGCACTCAACGGCCGCGCGTTCTCCAAGCGCGCTTCGCCTACCAAGAATCAGCTCCCGACTATGTACGGGTCTGGGATCTTCTGCCACGACTGTCAGACGAATCAGATGCTGGTGGTCAACTTGCTGGCAAACTACCTGCCGCCCCAGGATGTATGTGGCTCGGCGTACTCATGGTGTGTGCTCAATGGAAATCTAGGAGGCTAGAGAGGAAGGGCAGCCGCAGACGGTGGACGAATATCGGGAGTCTCTGTATCGACGTTACCCTCAGGTCTGCGAATCCTGTCGGCCGGCCATGGAGGAGGAAGTCAATCGGAAAAACAACATGGCGCGCTCCAAGGCCCTCGGCGGACTTCTGAAGCAGACCAAAGGAAAGACAAAGCAGCGGCAAGTCTCACTTACTGCTCAAGACAACGTAACGAACGAGTTGCTTTTCTGGCGTGTTCGTGGCGGTCTGTGGATAACGACTGTGCTGGGGTGTATGTCTGGAAGCCTGAGTGGTGTGTGGAACCTATCCCCTATGTTACCTTCACTTACGATAACAGCCGCATTCGGCCAGAACCAGCTCTTACGGCTGTCCTTTCTCGCTAAAGGACTTCCCTTTCTTGCTCTACTCTCTATCCTATGGGTGGCCTGGGATCCAACATATTCCACTTACCGGGCGGCCAGAATACAAGGGAGAGATGTGCGCATACTTGGAAAGCAAAAACATATCGTATGCACTCTGCTTGTTCCCACTTGACTCTGCTCCCTGATGCTCTTTGGATGGGCAGATGGTGCAAATGATGGCATGGTCGTTAAGGCTCGTGACGAGTCTTTGCCTTGCTCTTGCCTCCCTTGGACATTACGATCCGCTTGACTTATCGCATTTCCCGTCGCATCGGAGCCACGTCTATTTCGTCATCATGTCTGCTGTGGAATTCACGGTCAGTCGGATATTAGCCCACGCTAGCCGCTTCCGAGACTAAATCGGATCAGGCGCTCATTGTCCCCTTCCTCGTACTCGAAGTGCAGCGACCGCCTGCGATCCGATTGATTGACACCAGCTCACACAAGATATTCCCGAGCTCCCGTTCGCAAACACCAGTCGAAGAACCAGACCTGTTCGCGGGTCTTTCCCTGTCCGCAAAGCCGGTATCCACACCCCTGGTATTTGGACAAACCTCGATGCAGTCATCTATCCCAGCACGCGGACAAGGCCCAGACACCGGAGACTCGATGGATGTCGACTGGTCTGCATCCGACTCGAAGCCACGGGGCAGCGACGCAGTCTGGCTCAGACCTCAGCGGTTCTTTGCTCCAGAAGCCCCGACGGGACTGGAAGCCATGTTTGAGCGCACGAAAATACTAGACGATGTGACGATGACGGACGTGTCGCGCGAGAAGCCAGTGCCGCCGCGGAAGATGTGGGCGGTCTGGATATGGGCTCTGCTGATTCCAGTGGTCGCGATCGCATATACACTTTGGATAACGTTCTGGATGACGCCTCCTAGCGGCGTCCCACCGACATTCGAACCAGATTACTGGGCTGTCCCAGAGGCAATGTGATGTATGTAATATAGTGTATGTGCTGCTAATCGTACAATTCAATGTCTGTGTGAAACTCGCAGGGCTGTCTGCCAATGGCAATGCCTTGTCCAGGCTGCAGATTCCGAGTAGTCCACGTCTTCGTCCCCGGCTTGCACAACTTGACGACGGGGTCTTCCGTCACAGCGTCAACTCCGTGGTGCTGCGAACAGATCCCCTGCCCGAACGGATGCGGAAACATCTCGTCGTCGTCCGGCTCCTCTCCGTCGCGCAGAAAGTCGTGCGCTAGTGCGTCTTTGGACGTGATCCGTTTCGTGGCTTCGGGTTCCAGTAGACCCTGCAAGAAACTGAAGGCGAGATCCACGTCGCGCTTGTGATCTTCCACGGAAGGGCTGTATGTGTCGGATCCAGGCGAGCTGGGAGTAGTCCGTGATGGAGATGACGATACCGGAGGAACACCGCTGTATGGAAAGTCTCGTGCGTCCTGTGACTGAGGTTCGTACAGTCCAGGGTTGAGCTTGGTGACGAAATCGCTCCAAGGCACTCCTTGCTCTGTGACCGTCGGAACATTCGTGTAGAAAGCACGATCTAGATGCGAAGAGTCAGTCGCTCAGTCCCCATTCCATGTAGGGGATCAACATACTATGAAGCAGAGCGGCTTTCTCCATCTTCTTCTTGCCTAGGATGGTCGCCATCTCTAGCAAAGCTTCATTGTCATCGGCGCATTGAAAGATAGGAAATTTGCCGGTCAGGAAGAAGAGTAGAATGATGCCTGAAGACCAAACATCAATCGCTACCCAGCTTCATCAGCCTCTTTGCAATGGATCTTGGCTGCATTAACGCACCTCCAGTTTGCTCACCGCACTTGAAGAGCACTTCTGGCGCGCGAAATCCTCTCGTGCCTGCTCGATTTGCTTTAGAATGTGGTCTAGATGGCAATGAATCACAAGCCGATACATGGGATGTAAAATCACGACGAACCTGGTTTCATTCGCAGGGTATCCGACCTTTTCTGACGCCGTTAATAACGACTTTGCTTTCGCCTGGGACTGGAGCAGTCGCATGTTCTGGTATTTGCTATCGCGGGGCAGGGCATGACCATGGGGATGCTCGTCGGTCGCCGGACCATGCAGACACGCGCCGATAGCCTGCTTGGGCCCTGCGTCAAGCCGCTACCAGAAAATCAGGTTGGGTCACTATCCGTTCATCCAAGATGGACTCCTGCTCACACATGCTAGTCCGAAGTCGCACAGGACACCCTGCCCCGTCCGTGGATCAAAAAGGAAGTTGGCAGGCTTGACGTCTCGGTGTATGATCTTTCGGGCGTGGATGTCGCGCAGGGCGCGGAACAGGCATCGGAAATACATCTTGATCCCCGCCATTGGCAAAGTGCGGTGATACTCCTACAAGAAATGAATGAGACCGTGCACCACACATAGTCCAGACGAACATACACGGAAATCATCGTTGCAGTGGTAGGGCATGATGGCCACCACCTGGTCCTGGTGGCGAAACGCGGTGATGAGCTGAGAGACATATCTGCAACCTCTGCAATCGGCCAGGATGGCAATCTCGTTCCGTATCCGCTCGGGGTTGCTGGTGACATAGATGCGTTTCACAGCGACGAAGACCTTCGCGCGCGAGGGCGCGTCGGGGTCGGATCCGAGCCACAACGTGTTGTCCCATTTGTCGTGGAATCCAAGGTCGATGGCCTTGTAGACGGAGGAGAACGTGCCCGTGCCCAGCCGATCCACCAGTTTGTAGTCCTCGCATAACTCAGGCAGAGCAGTCTCCAGCTCCATGATTTCCTGCTCTATCTCTTGTCTCTCCTGCGAGCTCTTCTTCAATATCGAGAACTCTTCGTCACTCTCGTCTGGAAAAACCATCTCCTCGTCGTCTCCCTCTCCCTCTCCGTCCTCGTCCGATTCATTTTGTGCGCCTTGTTCGTCGTCCTCGTCCTCGTCGTCGACGGCCATGGTGTCATCCCCCTGGTCTGCGCGTAGTCTGCTGGGTATCGAGTAGTCCGGCCTTATGGACGTGAGATGCTGGTGGTATTCTTTGACCTCTGGCATATGGAATCCTGCCAGAGGGTCGTCGGACGAAGCAGGGTTGTCGAGCGCGCGCAGGCTCTTAGAGTATCGGCGCCGCACGTCTGAGGAGCCTGCCTCGAGGGGGTTTGACGAGTGCTGAGAGAAAAGGAGAACACTCATATGCCAGGCAAACACTGGGTAGAGGAGATTAGGTGAGTCGACGACGCGTCGCAGAATAAACGCGGTCACGCGTCGGGTTGATGCAAGCGTGAACAAACATTGTTGATTTTGTGCAGAGGCACATTCATGCCCACGATAAGTACGTCGGAAGGGTATAAGGGGGTCGAGGCCCTGGAATGAACAAAGAAAAACTAAGTACAAAACGTCCAGCGGATCGTGGTAAATGAGTAAAATCGCGCGCAACCCCCAAACAACATCATCCGATCTAAAACCTGACAGGGTCGCCATTGTAGTCATACGCCTCGGCTGGGAGACCGCGGTTGGTGCTAGGTCCCCGAGTAACTCCACCTCGGCCCATATCAGCCATCTGCGGCTGCGGGCTAGACGAGCGAGCAAGATCAGCGTAACCGCCGACCGGGGCCAAGTGGTTGTTGGTCGGCATGGCAGTGAAGTCGTGGTCAAGGTTGTCATTGTAGTTTCCAGAGGCGACAGAGGCGTTGCGGGAAAGGGTACGGTGGCCGGGAACGATACCCTCGTCATTGGTCGGCTGCCAGTCGATGGGGGCCATGCGCTCATCGAACTTGGCCGAGTGTCCAAGCTTCCACTTGCGGAAAATTGTCCACAAGATGACGATTCCTCCGACGGACGCTGCGATAGCAATCAGGACAGTCGTAACCGTGCTCTTAGTCGCAGCAAGCGCAGTCTGAGTAACAGGCACCGCAGGTCCGTTGCTGGCCGCGGTGGCAGTCACGGACGCCGTTTGTGTCACAGTCGACCGGTGAGCGGTAGTGACTTGGTCGACAACGACCGCTGTAGGTTGCTGAGCAGCCTGCGTCGCTGCGTTGGCCGTGGTCTGGGGGGCGGCAGCGGTAGTCTTGGTTGTCGATACAACAGAACTAATGGACGTCGACGAGGCCGAAGAGACTGCTAAGCTCGACGCCGATGCACTGGCAGATGCACTCTATGGAAGACCATCAATATCATTCCGATCACAACTGCCGATTATCACACTACTCACCACAGAGGCAACGAGTGAGGCAGACGAGACGGCGGATGCTGATGCAGAGGAGAGGGGAGGAGCACTCGAGGCAACAGCAGACGCGGAGGCGGCAGAAAGTACAGGAACCGAGACAGCTACGGACAGCGCTGAAGAGCTGGGACTGGGTACGGCAGAGTCGGTAGTGGTGGGACTAAGCCCTAGAGCGGCGTTGATTATACCGAAAGCAGCGTCGTTGGCGGGATGGGGCGAACGCTTCTTGATGATGCGGTTGAGACTCTCATGCCTGCGGCCGAGATTCACATCATGAGCTTGTACAAGAGCGAGGGACAGGAGGATGGAAAGAAAGAGCGTGTGGTTCTTGGACTTTATGGACATGGCGAGCGAGGCCTTTCGATTCTGTTTTCCGGAACAAAAAAGTCAGTCGTGGGTAGAGCCAAAAACGAAGCAAGGTCGTCAATTGACCAGGCACAAAAGGGGACGGGCCTTTGCCTTGACAACGGGCGTCACACTCACAAGCTAGGGTGATGAGGGATGGGCCGGAGCGAACGAGAGCGAGTTCGAGATATTCGATCAGAGCACCGGGAACGAGCGGCGGGTGCAGCACAACGTCCAAATAGCAACGAGAGGAGGGAGGAGCAGAGGGATGAAATTGACACTGTCACTCTCAGGATCACACATCATGTGCGTGACAAACAGACAAGAATATTAGCGCCGCACGTCACGGAGTGTCCTTCACGAGTCACCGTTCCAGTAGATAGTAAGACCAACAAGATCTGATGGATTCTTAAAATAGGGGTACAAAAATATCCTAGTACTCTCGCAAAAAGACGGACGCTGCACCCATCCCGGTTCCAATACACATCCTTTGAAATAGTTTGCATCAGCATGCAGGACTGAGCCCGATCAAAACCGCTACTCACGAGGTGACTAAGATCTGAGTTGGAGTGAGTATCGATCAAACGAGGATAGTATGGGGGAGGACAGCGCACCTTTCCCTTGCGACGCTCCAGCTCGTTGAGTCCGGTAGCAATTTGGCGAGCTCCTGTGCAACGTGTCGGCGAGAAGACTGTCAGGCCCTCTGCAATTCCCAGAGAAAGAGAAAACTCATCTAGAGGATGTCCGAATGCGATAGCACCTCCGTTGACGTTGACCTGAAATGTGTTCAGAAACTGATATCAGGGTTTACAGCGACCCCACTTTTTCTCTGTGGATGAAAGTAAGCGAGTGAGCGAGCAGGATGGTGGGGATCCGCTCACAGAGGCAGCTCCAACTTGCGCACGCTATACACGCACTGCGACGCGAAAGCCTCGTTGATCTGAAACCACGTTCTGCACCCGAGAAAGCAGTTCGATGTGGACATGCGACGCACTTCAAACAGATCAACATCCTCTTTCGTGATCCCACACTGCTCGAGGACCATCGGCACCGCAAATACGGGACCGATGCCCATGATCCGAGGAGGAACCGCTGCACAAGATTTCAGAACACAAAGCATCAGCTGTTCAAGGGTGGAACGTACCAGCGACGGCGGTCGAGATGTGTTTCGCCAGAATCGGAAGCCCTAGACTCTCGGCTTTCTGCCGTGTCATCAACAGGACAGACGCTGCTCCATCCGTGATCTGGCTGGCATTGCCCCCTGTCGTCGTAGACTTTCCCCATTGCGGGAACGCCGCACGGATCTTGGAAAGGCTCTGCACAGTAGTCCCGTAGCGGATCCCATCGTCCTTTTCGATGGTCACTCTCGTGCGCTCTCCGGTCTTGGCGTCCTTGCTGAACACGGTGAAAGGCACAATTTCTTTCGCAAAAAGACCAGCTTTTTCGGCAGCCTCAGCTCGCTGGAAGGACATCGCCGCATACTCGTCCTGCTCAGCGCGAGAAACGTCGAATTCGGACGCAACGTTCTCAGAGGTCCAGCCCATCCTTTCTTTGCAGTCTGCTGCTGCTTGATGGCAGGAAATCAGCTCGCTCTGAGAGGGTCCGCCATTGTCCGGGCTGGAAAGAGTCCAGCAACCATGACAGGCAAAACATATGGACCTACTTCTCAGACATGCTCTCCACGCCCAGGGCAAGGCCGACCTTGGCCGGTCAGATAAAGAAAGCAATGTGAATGTGTCAAATACCTCTATCTGGCCACTGCGAATCTGGTTGGCGATGATGGTCACCTACACGAAGATTGAGAACCGGGTCGTTGATGGCCCATCAGAGCGCGGTGCCTCGTACCGCCATCAGTCCTGACAACAGGTCAGGCCCCCGGCAATGCACGCGCGAGCGAGAGGGGACTCACCACTGGAACAGAATCGATTCACAGTCTGCACTGGCGAGTCGAAACCAGCAGCCAAGGAAGCTGCTTTGGCCTGGTATGGCGCGTCCGGAGTAAGCACAGTCCCCACGCATATGTCCTGGACAATCTTCGGGTCGATCTGTGCATGTTTGATGGTCGCCTTGAGGTTCGTTTGAGAAGTCCTTCAAAGTGCGTACTTCACAATAGCACACACCAGGAACATCTCAAGCATGAGTTCATCCGTTCTGGTTCGTGTGAGCATGCGCATCTCCGAAACCTCGACGACCCGAACCTCGCGTCCTTCAATCCACCTCGCTTGGCTTTAGTGAGCGGCGACCGCATTGCGAACGTGATCCTGTGGCGTATAAGTTTCTGGTCTCTCCGAGCATTGAGGCTCGATTCACACAACGTCATCAGGGCGCTTTTGCTCCAGGGCAGAGATACCCGTTCGAGCAGACGTGAGATGAGCGGCGAGTTGCTTGACCCGTTCCATAGCGCGTAGTAAGGAGAGAAAAGTTGGATTGGACTCGTAACTAGTAGGCGTGGTTAAGAGAGAGGATCGGCTCGGAACGCACTCCGCTGCCCGAGCGTACAAATGACACCTGACATTATCATATGCCACGGTAAGTAGACTGTGGCCAAACGCTCTTCTCCGTGTCCATCGCGGACGTTGATCTTCCGCTTCCTTTTAGGTAAGGGTCTCGGGGACCTTGTCAGTCTGTCCGGGCTCGTTTCAAGCTTTCACTCAGCATCATGTTTTAGTCATTCATGATGAGTCGCTAGCGCTTCTTAGTCATGTGCAATGATCGATGATCCTTACAACAAGCCTCAGTGGCCTACCTACCTACTCTACCTAGAGAGAGTATCAAGAGTGTGTTGTACACAAGTAGCAGATAAGACATTTGTCTCAAATTGCTATTTCGATGAAAACATACAAAGATTTGAAATTTTGCAAAATGTGGGTTGGTTCGGTTTGTGACGAACGGTAGCGGATTGCAGCCCTATATCTCACCATAGCAAATTCAATTTGGCATAGTGTGATTCAAGTAGCGGACATTGCCGCCTGCGTCCCTACTGATACCTGTTATTTGCAATTTATAGTCAGAGGCAGTCATACCGCTCACATACGCTCTGGTTTGACTCACTTTCCGGGGCCGAAATATTCATTTATGCTACGCGCGCCTTCTCGTTGCGCTCGAATTCTCCAGCCTACACTCCGTACAACGCATTCACTGCACACTCGGGCTATGCCGGTCACCGTGATGGCACGCCCTGCCGAAGTCGACACTTCACTCCTAAAGAATCTGAAATACATCGACATCGGTGGTATGAGCTCGAGCTATTTCACTCCCAAGAGTTGCAAGGTGGAAACTGAGGACAACAGTCAATCTCACGGACCCTGTTTTTCGAGGGAAATACCATGGCAAGAAGAAGCACGAGGGTGCATATCTCGCTCTCCCCTACGTTCTTCTCAGTCTGAAAATTCGTAGATGACCTGGAGCACATGCTTGAACGCGCGCGCAAAGCGGGCGTCAAAAGCATGATCATCACTGGAACAAGCCTTCGCGAATCTCGCGAAGCGCTCAAACTAGCCAAAGAACTAGGCAATTCTCCAAACTTCATCCATGTCTCAAACTTACTGATTTTGTAGGCCTATTTTGCACCGTCGGATGCCATCCCACTCGATCGAGCGAGTTTGAAAGCTTCAAGGGTGGTCCGGACGCGTATCTCCAAGCTCTGGATGAGTTGATAGCGGGTAACCTGAAAGGCAAAGGGCGCGTTGTTGCCCTTGGCGAATGTGGTCTAGGTAGCCCTCTCTCTCTCTCTCTCGACATATTTCAACCTATTCTGAACACCGTCAGACTACGACCGACTCCATTTCGCAAGCCAGGAAGTGCAGCAGAAGCATTTCCGCTCGCAGCTGTCCCTGGCCAAAAAGCATCAACTGCCGCTTTTCCTGCATTCCCGAGCAGCTCATGGCGACTTTGTGCGCATCCTTCGCGAAGAAGGCTTCGGCGATGCTTCCGGGAAATTCGGCGTGGTCCACAGCTTCACCGGATCTCTTGCCGAGGCTGCTGAGTTGGTGAGCAGCAGAAATGCTTTGACACACTGGCCTCCATCAGCTCACACGTCTTCAGATGACGATGGGCTTCCATCTCAGCATAAATGGCTGCTCACTCAAAACCGAAGAAAACCTGAAGGCTGCGGCTACCATTCGCTCGGACAGGATACTGCTCGAAACAGGTACATATCGGATCGACTTTTTGCCCCTCTGGAACCCTCATGTTGCGCAGATGCGCCGTGGTGCAGCATGACTGGGGGACACGCGTCGAAAGAACAACTCTCGTCTCTTCCCCAAGCCATGCGAGACTTGTATCTGGCTCCCTCTGTCAAACCAGAAAGCTTCGTTGCAGGCAAAGCCGTCAAGGGCAGAAACGAGCCCTGCGCTACTGGCGCAGTGGCCTGGGCGATGCACAAATTGTTGAACGTGCCTTTGGAGAAGGTAGCTGAGAAGGCTTTTAAAAACACTTTGGATCTCTTCGGCCTAGAGGAAGATGAACTCGACTTTTGAAAAGTTGAGCTGGCAGTCATTCATTATGTGCTATACAATGCAATTACAACAGTCATTGGGAACTTGGCAGTGGATCATAGTTTTTGGGTTGCCGCAAGCGCTGAAACCAGGACGGATTGTTTTCCACCTTGGCCACTTCTCCGTTAGTAAGGACTCGATATCGAGTCCCCCGCCATACAACTTCGCTGCCAAAGATAGCGTAGAGGAATATGGGCAAAGCGAGCAGCTCGCGGGCAGCCCATGCTGCTGCGAAGGGCCATGCGTGGGACGACGGTAGCGGATGACCAGCCAAGGAGGCGTAGACATCCAGGTCAACAGATATCCATGCGATGTAATGCGCACACAACGCGATCCACACGGGGAGCCCGAACAAGTAGTGGAGGCTCGAGGCCCCGATCAACGAAAGGACGACAGACTCGGTGAACGGCTCGGTCAGCGTCGCTCCGAACACCATATGCTTCCGCACGCGGATCCAGCGCACCCGCCTCCAGATGTAGTCCGACAGCGTCATGTTGCCAACGACGTTGCGCGCGACATCACAGGACAAATCGTGTCGGTCGCCCAGCTCGTGCCACAACGAAGTGGCGATCATGTTATCTTCAGCGAGGAACCGCCCGAAAGCAGCCAGGCCGCGCTCGCCAGGATCCGCGTCCGAGGTCAAGGGTTTCAGGGACCCGTTGATGCGCTCCACGTCTGAGCGCCGGTACAGGTTCGATTTGCCCATGACACAGGACTCGATGGCCGCCGTATTGATAGCGATGTACATCTTGGCATGGTTGGTGTTCAGGAAGGCTTCCTCAATACGCGAACCGAGCCGCGGCTCTGTGACAACAGCGAAAGGAACATGGTGCACCAGGGCTATCCGTTTGCGGGGTGAGGTGGAGGGCGGGCCCACGAGAGCATCGACGGAACGAGCTAATGTGCCCGGATGCACCGTGACATTCGAGTCGATGACCCAGAGTATGTCGTTAGCGGCTTCCCGGTAGGAGCGCATGAGGTTGTTGACTTTGGGATTCACCCCGACGACTTCCTCCCCTATAAGCTCTCAGTTCTACCCATGCGTCGTGGACGGAGTGCGGTTTTGTTCATACCGATGATGATCCTGCAATTCACCGAGGGATATCTTGCCATGAGTTCCTGAGCAACAGGCAGCGCCTGGTCATGCTTGTCGGCCACAGAGAGCAAGATTTCGAAATTCGGGTACTCCTGGACGAAAGTCGATTGAAGGTTTTCGTAAAGGTTCGTATCGAGTCCCTTGAGTGGTCTCAGAATTGAGACACCAGGGACAGTAGTCGGAGATGCACTTGCTAGCGGCGAGCGCGGTCGTAGGCGGTATCGTTTTCGACTTGGTGGTGGTAAAATTAGGTGTATGTGCATAGCAGCCTCAGATGACTCACGCGGCCCAACAACCTAGTAGGCCGATGCTCCACAAGGCTGCATACCACCCTAGTCCCACGACAGCGAGGGCAGAATACAAAGCCGGCATCGGGCGGAAGGGACGTTAGGGTCAAGCTCAACGATGATGATGATACAAACGGGATTAGTGAATACAAGATTACGTATAGTGATTTACGAGGTATGCGATTAGTGTGTGTGGTGTAAGTAGCGCATGAGTACAACATGGCCGTTGTGTTTTAGAGTTTCATGTCGTGAATGATCGTGAATGGTCCGTGTGGTTGTGTGCGCGCTTTTTGTAGCTTCCAGAAGTGGACGATCATGAAGAACTCCTCGAAGCATTGATCGGACCAGTCTGCTGAGATCAACAAGGCGGAGGGCCTGAGTCGCAGACAGTCTCCGACATCAGAATATACGGCGGTGAGTTCTCCGCGTCGATGCTTCTGTCTATTGATTTGTTGGAGTCGGGCAACAAAGCGGAGTGCGATACAAACACTCACCTGCAGTTGCTGAACCAATTTTTGACTTGGCGGAAGGATCTGTGCAGACTCAGCGTGGGACGGTAGATGAAAACGAAGAAAAGCACCTGTTGAGAACGATAGCCATGATGGAAACCCACGAATCAATGGGATGCATAGTAATCTGTGCGGAGGTCAGTAGTGTCGATGTGCGACCTACAAGCGGTGGTCCCCACCTCATCAAACACGATCTTGAGAACTTCAAGTTGTTGGCCATTCACAGGAGAGTTCTGGAGAGATTTGATATTCATGGCTCGATCCTTGAACTCCCTCCGGCGCCGCTGCAGCTCGGGATTTATCTTGCCGCGCTTGGGAGCTTGGGAGGTGGACCTCCTTGACCGGAGTTGCCGTTTGCCCACAGGGCTCGAAGATGCTTCAGAGGACAGCGCGGATGATGAGAGGGTGCTTATGTCGGAATGATCCACGACCATCTCATCAAGCGCAGTGTTGGCGAGCAGATCTAACGCTGTGGACATGATATAGAAAACCGTCATTAAGATAAACGAGAGGAAGGGGCGACCTGCGCGGAGTGAAGTGGGAAGCGTCACTTGCTAGTATACGTGCCCTTTTATGCGGCATGGCAAGAAAAGGAACAAAAGGAGTTGCTATTGTGCACGTCAACCCGTTTTAGACAAGAACGTCTCTTGTCTCGCGCGACGTAATACACAAGAGTAGTGAGTGGAGACCATCAGCCTGATGCCGTATGGGAGTTTCAAGTTTGTGGGTGCTGCCCCTCACAGAAGAAGTCCAAGAGATATGGAGGGAGAACGAGGAAGGAGGTTGGTGCCGAAGACATGCCAATCAGACAGCCGATCGCGCACGCGTGTAAACGGACTCTCTCCACCACCACTCGATCATCTGTAATCTTGCTCTGCTTCACGCTCTGTCTGTGGGCGTGTATCCCGCTGGGTCCGATATCCGCACAGTGCTAGAACACTCGCTCAATTTCGGACATGGATCAGCGTCAAACTATCATCGACTCCGTGTTCTCGCGCAGGAATGCAGCAGGTGTTCTTGAAGAAACATACGTATCTCATGTCAAGATTTGGGAGGACGCCGGTGCTGAGGGCGGTGGGAGGAAACCACGATACATCCTTCTGTCTCGTACGCAACACATCTTCTGAGACGTCCGTTGTTCTCAATGGCAACACTGTGCAGAGGCTCTCAATGGCAATGGCTTTCTGCACAAATCCAAACTGAACACGAACGGGACTTTCTCAGTGGGAAAGACTTGGAGGTTGGCAGAGCTTCGGGCTTTGCAAGTGGTCAATGTGCGGGAGCGTATCATCGTCATGGCTCAAGTGCTGACTGCACTACTCCAGGCGCTCTCCTTCAATATATCCCTCTCCAGAACCTACAAATGGCAGACGGAAGATCCTAGTGAACAATCTCAATTCCTCCAGGCCGTCATCCAGCTGTTTCGCACGACTTCACCTGACGCGCCGCTAAGACTGGAGGGCATCAGTGAAAGCAAATGTGCGTAGTACATCATGGTTACAGTCTCCCCACGGGTACCGACCTGCACAGCTTCCCAATCTGTACCAAAACTGAATGCTACTCCAACACGACGGCCCAATAACCGACCACCGCCATTAAACGAAGTTTCGAGCGAGCGCCAATACGAACAGCGCAATCTGTCTCCACCTCCGCCGAGGTCCCAGTCGCGAAGTGGATTAAACTCCCGTCCTGCATCTCCTGCTAATTCTAGTCGTGCTTATTCTTCCGCCCGTGGTTCATCAAGACAAGCCGAGCGCCTTCCCGAACCACTTCCTTCACCCCAACCTCGTCCTAGACCAGCGGCGAAAGCGACACCTCCGGCACCTCCCAGTCTCCAACCTTCATCATCTATCTCCTCGCTGCCGGAAAGAGCACCGTCGATTGCATCCATTGAACCTCCTTCTCCCTTGCCCAGATCTTCGAAGCGCCCAGGTGCTACCGCTGCTCCTGTTGATGGATCTGGTCCATCGAGGAGAGACCAGAACGCTCGCATTTCGTTCTTTGATCCAGGCAATCAGGCTGCTTTGGACCGCCTGATCACCAACTCCACTAATGAAGAAGATGGCGAAGAAGAATCTGCTCAGTCCATGATGTCGAACGTGGAGGAGATGATCGAAGGATACGAGTGGGCTATCGACGATGTCATTGGCCGCAAGTCGTCCAGGGGAGCGGCAGATCTCATTGAGGCGAGATTACTGGATGAGTTGCTGGCCCTGGAAAAGGTGGGGTGCTCAGTTTCATTGACTGTGTTTACTTAGCGAGTTGTTCCTGACATTGCGTAGGCTAACATCCATTCATTCCTTGAATCCGATGACCTCATCGAAGTTGTGCTCAAGTACATGGACGAAGCAGTTGCCGAACTGGATAATATGGAAGGCTTGGTTTCGTCGTATAAGATTCATCTCAATGTGCGTTGATCCCTCTCGGTCTCACAAGTGTGCTTTCTGACCGAAATCACAGGCAGTTGGAGATGATATCTCCTTCATCCAAGGGCAGAATCGGGGTCTTCAAGTACAGAATCAGAACCAGCGCGCGTTACTGTCCGAACTAGAGAATCTCTTGGTATGACCACGACGCTCGCAATCGCTAGACCCTCATCTTTTCTAGCAAACAACCCAAGTCAACAAAGATGCGCTGGCAATTCTCACGCAAGAGTCGTTGGAAAAGTCCAGTGGCATTCAGCGTCTGGAAGAAGCTGCAACCGAGCTGTACAAGGCGTTGTTGGCTGGCCAGGACACCGATATGGCTGCGACAATGCAGCGATTGCAGGAGTACAGATCGTACAACACTCAGTTCTGCAAACGGATCTTCGATTTCTTATCCATCATGTTCACAGCCCAGGTGTGTGTGAAACGAGTGGTCCCTTTCGATGACATACGACTTACCTTTTATAGTCTCAAATGTTATTGGGCAGTACCGACGGCTTGCTCAAAGCTGGGGGTCGTGGCAAGCCAAGCATCATTCCTCATCAAGACTTGGAGCAGTACTTGGGCCGCTATGCTGGGTTGATGCTTTATCTGAAAGAAATGGATGAGAAAATCTACGAAAGAGTCTGCGGTGTCCGTGTTTCTTCCCTCCGTTGGCTATTTGTCCTGATCCAAGGCAGACCTACTTCTCTGCATCAAGCGAGCTACACAAGACGCAGATGAAGTCTCTACTCTCCATCTACATCAATTTGGTGCGAAAAGCTAGCGAGGACGATCAAGAACATGGTATTCCGAACGTTTGGTGCCACAAGTCATATTGATTTCACCTCATCTAGGTTTCGGCCCGCCGCCTGCAACAGGGACTATCGCCAAGGGAGCGACCGGCATGCGCCGTGCCGGCACGATAATCCGATCGCCTCTAGAAGCCCGCAACAGGGACAAGGATAAGACTCCGCAGGCGACGCTGGCAGCGTCTGAGGTACGTCGTGGGCTTTGGATATAGCACGTGACCTAACACGCTCTGAACTAAAGGTGCTTATCTTGGTCCTAGAGCAGATTGCACCTCTCATGTATCGGGAAGACGAGTTCATAGCGGATTTTCTGCAGATCAACGAAGCTGTGCTTACTTTTGCGGACTATGCGGATCTGGACAATTACTTCCGACGACAAGCGTCGCGCACTGCCGGCTTGAGCCAGTCGACCATGAAGCTGGTACGACAAGCCATGGAACTCATTTTCGGATTTCTTCCGGAAGAGCTCAAGAGCTGGCTCGACAAAGCACTTGCCAAGGATAGCATGTCAGTCTTCTGGTGTGCCCTAACGTCACCCATCTGACGATCTCAGGCAAATTGTCGGTCTCCTGGCGTCTATGGAGAGATTCATTGCCGAGGCAGATGATCGCGCCATTTACTTGCTGAATGTATTGGGGAAGCAGCAGATGCGTCTGAAGAGCCTCTTCGATCGACATGTCGTGCGTCTGGTTTCTTATCTGTCCAGAAGCCTACTCTAAGACTAGCGCAGAATGACCAAATCAGGGACATCGAACAGACGAAACTGAACAGCAAGAAGCGCAAGGGTGTTGTTCCATTTATCAAGCACTTCCCTAGCTATGTGAGCACGGTCGAGGATCAGCTGATTCGGGCCGAGAGTCTCGAAGTCCGGTCAACGGTGGACGCCGCCTATGACCGCATCGTTCAGTCCATGTTCGAGTCGCTCAAACAAATGGCCAAGCTTGACGGGGAGGGAGAAGACAAAGGGCAGCTCAATTTCCATGTCATTCTCATAGGCATGTGGTTTGGCACTTTGATGACTGTCTGCTGACGCTTTGAGGTGCAGAAAATATGCATCATTTTATCTCCGAAACCTCTCAGATCCAAGTGGGATCTGTTGCCTCGTTCGTGAGGACGGCAGAAGCGATATACGACGAGAACTTGACTGCCTACGTGAAGCTGGTTCTGCGCCGACCTTTCGGCAAGTTGATGGTGCGTTGGGATCACTGCGCATGCACAGCACAACAGCTCCTCACGCGTCGCAGGATTATTTCGATGGCATCGAACGTCTCTTGAAGACAGCAGCGCCGTCCGAGATCTCATCGAATAGCAACTACAACAAATCGGCGCTCAAGAAAGTGGTCAAGGAGTTCAACGCCAAAGACATTCGCAAGAACGTGGACGCCCTATACAAACGGGTCGAGAAGCACTTCAATGAGGGATCCGAGAAAGCGGCGGAGGAGAGCAAGGGAATCGTATCCGGAACAGTGCTCGTCGGTGTCTGGAAGGCTTGCGAGGACGAACTTATCCGATTTACCGACACAGCGGCGAAACGCATCACCCAGTGCTACGGAGATAGCGGAGTTACGTTGGATTACACCAGAACAGACGTCGAAGGCGCCTTCAGGCGCCACCGCGGGTTCTGATCTGTACACAACAACATACACGTGGCATGTACACACATATCCAGGTTGAATCAAGATACGTGTTGAGGCTCGGGGAACGGAGGCGCAGCCTCAGTGGCGGCATTGGGGGTTGAAGCGGTCGAAGCATAGGGAGAAACCGACGGTGACACAGCTGCCGGCGCAGATGCAGGTGCAGAGGCGGGCCGAAGCGCGCTGGCGATCGCGGGGGCGTAAGCTCTGAACATGTCCAGCGCAGCGCCCATCGAAGGAGCTCCAGCGGGAGCGACACCGGGCTGTCCCTGCTGTGCGGCGTTCTTGTTTGCTGCGCCCATAAGGGCATTCCATGCAATGGCAAATTTGACTGAGGCAAATGAGAACACATTCCCCTGGATCGTTACGATGTCTTTGACCGTGCGTGAGAAAGTTAGACGGAGACATGCAAATAACACGCACCAGCGTCGAATTCTGCTTCATTGCGCGTCATGAAGGGGAGGATATACGTGTCGTAGATGTAGGTCGACCCCTTCAATGAATGTATGAGCGATAACGGTCAAGTCATCGGGAAGTAATGACCTGAGTTTGTGGAAGCGCGAGGAAGAGAAGGAAAGCTGTCTTGGCTTCCCAGTAGAAGGGCACCCACGAGATAACCCATTCTCCCAGATATTCGAAACAGACGATAAGTCCGACCACAGACCTGGATTTCGCACTTGTGGTTAGCTTTTTCTTGCCTATAGGAGAGAGAACTGACCAGTATTTTGTCCAGCGCTCGAGATCTGGCTCGGAAACAGGCCGATGCTTGAGAGCTTTGAATGTCCCGAAGACGGGAATCAAGAATGCAAACCAGGCAGCAATAACGTGGGAGATGAAGGAAAGAATCATTGTATATAACTGTTTCGCGTAGTCAAGATTGACCAAGTACGCCCGCGATTATGCTGAAATTGGGAATAGACAGGGAGAGATGTGAGAAAGAGAGGATATACGTCCGTGTGAATAACTGTCAAAACTGCCACGACAACCGAATCTGCAATCGGGCCGACATCGGCTCCTTCATCGGGTTTGTTGTTTTTCAGCTTTCGCGAGACGCGAGGTGTGTCGACACAATCCAGGGTCGTTTCTATTGCAATGCACGCGTCTACGAATGTGGACATGAGTATTTCCAAACGGATGCAGTCATGTTGTGCTACATGGGCGTGACAGGTTGAACGGCTTCGCATCAAGTTCTCACTCACTCACTACTTTCTCTCACTCGACCATCTTGTCCGCCAGGGCGTTGGGCGGCATGGACCCCTCTCTCAGTCTGTCTGGTCTTCACCAAGTGGATCAGAAGGATGACAAGGGAGACGTGAAACAGGTGGTAAAGACTCTGAACAGAGTGCCTCGCGCTTGCGTAAGAATCGCCGCACGACAGCCCGTTCTCGTGTCTACGTACTGAATCCGTGTTCAGAATGCTTGTAGGAAGCAGAAAATGCGGTGCGAAGGAGCCGACAATCCGCCATGTAGACGTTGCCGTACCATGAACCAAGAGTGCTTGTTTGAAAAGCCCTCGCGGGAGGCAAGTCTAACGGGAGAAGCTGGACTCGAGTACGCGATGTGCACATATTCTGCTGAGCTCCATTGACTGTATCACCAGACGCATACGAAGCCTAGAGGCATATGTTGCGGATATCAGGCACACGCAAAGCTCCATTCAAAACTCGGTTGCCGAAATCTTGGCCCACCTTCGGGGTGGCGCAGTGCATGCACGTTCCCCAACGTACACACCCCATCCGTACAGCCAGTCACCCAGTCTTCATTCGCCATCTGTGAACACAAGCCAAGTGCATCCACACGGGAGCGATGGCGGACCGCAGACACCGACAAACACTTTCGCGCAAGCACCTCCTACGCGCCAGTCGCGTGGATCCCTACCACCTGCGCCTCCTTCAGCACATGCTGGTCCCTCGCAGCATCCAGGCGCGTATTCGCACTACCGGAACTCGGGCTCGAGCTCGAACTATGCGATCGCTGGTCCAGCACAAGGACCTGTTCTCCCTCCGTTCTCCAGTCTTCCGAGTATGGGGCCGCCAACTGCTCAGGCGTCTAATGTCTCTTCGGTCCGCTATGATAGCGCACATGCGCATCCTGGCCTCAGACAACATGGGAAACGAGGGCAAGGGTCAACGAATGTGACGAGTGCAGAATCGTCCGATATCGACGACGAAGACAACGGGGATCTGCCCGACTCTGGACTGGTTGCACCGCTGGAGGTTCTCCGCGGATTGGCTGATGTGGCATTTGAGCGGGCTGCCAAGGTTGCTTTGACTTTGTCCCAGCGGCTATTGGTGTGCTAAAGGCTCTGCAGGAGAACGGCGGAGACAGCAGCGGACCTCAGAGTCGGAATAGAACACCTTCACCCGACAGGCAGAATCGCAAACGTCGAAAGCTGCATCACACAGGTCGACCTGCGATGGTGTTCCCCGACGGTAAGCTAGACTGACTGATAATGATCCGCGCTCATCGTTCTAGTGGTCACCAAAAATATCGTCTCAGAGGCAGAAGCGCGGGAGCTGTTCCAAATGTAGGCCAACGCACTCATCTGAGCCCCAGTTGACGGTTTCCTGTTGCAGCTTTTACCGCGGCTGTTCGACCTTCCTGTCAGTACTAAGTATACAGCGGGGATATTACCACTAAATCGTCCACTCCACAGGCCGGTGTTCGATTCTTCCTGTGACACGTTCGATGAGCTCCACGAGCGATCGCCTTTTGCCGTTGATTGCATCTGCATGGTGGCCGCAAGAGTTCGAGATGGCGGTGGCAAGTCGACCAGTCGATGAACTATCGAGAACACTCACAATTTTTCAGGGCCACCTAGCCAGACGTATATTCAGACTCTAGAAGAGGTCCAGACTATCTCTCGGGCAACTCTTTTCTCTCCTGTGCTAAGACACGAAGCAGTGCAGGCTATGAGTATGTGTCCCAGTCGAGCTTCCTCAGTTCCTCGCTAATCTTCGCTAGTATTGGTTGCCGGCTGGTCCGAAAACGGATGGCTCAGCGGAGGTCATGCTGTCAGGATGGCCCTGGAACTTTGTGAGAAGTTCCTTGCCCGGTGCCGACATTTACTCAGGTTCTGCCAGCTATGCACAAGGCTTGGCCAGCTCTTCTCAAGCGCATGAATGTCAATCAGATTGATCTCAATGCTGACCGGGAATTGGTAATCGCGTCAAGAATCTGGTTCTGCCTCTATCTCTTCGAACATCAGTGAGCTGGCTGCGCAATACAGCAAAAATTGCCAACCTTATCCTTCGTAGATTGTCATACGGGACCGGCCGACCCGCTGTGCTCAAGGACGATGAAAGCATCGGCCATTGCCGTTTGCTCTTGCAACATCCCCTCGCCATTGAAGATGACATGCGGCTAGTCTCCACCGTGGAACTAATGGCTCTGCGGGAAAGAGTTCATAATGCACTCTCACCGTTCGAAGGGCCCGTCAAGGACGGCCATTTTGAAGAGCTTCGACGTGCGGATGTCAACTTCCGTAGCTGGTATGCTACTTGGGATCAAGCTTTCTCTCAAAAATACGAAGACGCCGGTAACAATAATTGCTGGCATACTGGGTCACGATGAGACTGATGAGTGCCATCAGCGTTCTATCGACAATCGTTGCAAATTCAGCATCTGCATGCGGAACTGTTTCACAACGCAACTGCGCTCAGAGGACTGAATGGCCCCGACGACGTTATGAACATGCCGGCCCAGCAGAGATCGCTCGCTTTGCGTTCCATTCAGATTGCCCGTCAAGGCCTCGATCTTACTGTGAATAGCCCAGCGTACAGGTATTTGTCGTTCTCTTTCTGGTATTACGCAGTACTGAGTCGTCAAACTTAGGGAAGGGATGAAATATGGTATGATATTGGCTGCACATGGGCGTGGGGTACTGATCTGTTCTCTAGCCGTGAACTATACCCATGCGACAGCGACTTTTGCGGCTTCATTCCTTTTGCGACTTTCGCGACTGTTCCCTAACGACAGTGAGATGCCGGAAGTGAGGACACAAGTGGAACGTCTAGCTACCCTGATGGCCGAAAGTGCGTCATTCAACAACTTGCCCTGGCATCGTTCTCATATCCGCAGTCCCTGCTAAACAGTATGCTCTGACCCTGCAAGTCATGCTGAAAAGATCGAGAAAACGCAAGTCTGGATCATCAACCTCGCGCTCGCCAAAAACTGCCCGCGATCCCCACCGTCCCATGTCCATGACTATCGATCAAAATCAGCCAAGTAGTGCCCAGCAGCAGGAGCCGTTCTCGCCTGCTTACGAAACCTTTCCTGGCCAAGGTCAGCACGTACCTCACATGCAGGATGCAGACCACATTTGGCGCGGATTCGAGACGACTTCGAACGAACAGCTGCCTGTCTGGATTTCGGATCAAACTTTGGGCGGAAACACCCTGTCGCAGCACGGCATGAATGCTTTTCTCTTGCCTCAGGACTATTTTCCGCCGGCCACGCAAATCTGGTGAAAGATGGGAACAGAAAAATGTGTTTTCCCCCTTGTTATCTCCTATGCGATCATACTTGTTTTGCATATCTTGGACCACTACTGTAAAGTTTGTGTAACGTTTCATTAGGTTCTGTGCTGTACAAACGACGTGTATATCTTCCATCAGTGTCACGAGCAGCCAATAATCACGTGTGTGTGACTGACGCGCTTCGCATCCTTCTCAGCTTCACTGCCAATGCCGGCTCTCAAACGCAAGGCCAGCGGAGGACTGTCCACGTCACCCACCAAGCGTGCGGCGCTACAGAAGCCTCAACTCTCCACTAGTCCTAGCAAGCAGCGGGGCGGGGCGGGGCAGCGAATACTCAAGCGAGAAGATAGCGAGGATGAGCTCAATGCGTTCCTCCCACGTACGCGCTCGGGCAAGGTTCGACCTATCGAACCTCCCCCCAAAACGCCTCCGCGCCGGAAATTGGAGACCTCTACTTCCCATCGCGATATCCAGGGAGACGAGACGGAGTCCCGACCAACATCACCGACGAAACGAGGTCGCCCTCCAAAGGCCGAACCTAAAGCTGTCAAGAGCCTCACCGCTGACCCACCCCGCGAGCTGGCCAAAAGCTCTCCCCGGAAGACGATTTCCCCCGCTCGCTCCCCCACGCCGCCGTCTGTGGCTGAGTCTATTGAAGATGTGGATCCCGAGCTGGAGGAGAGGAGTGAATTGCAGGTGGAGGCTCAGCTTGTGGCTGAACAACTCAGAGTTTTCACCTCAGAATCCGGTTCTCCACTGCCTATGGATGACAGGCCTATATCTCCTGCACTCTGCGATGCACGCAGGCAGAGCATCTTTCGAGCAATACAAAGTTCGGATTGCTGGATGGAACCCGAAAGCTCTGCGAATCATATTGCTTTGAAGCAGCTTCATGATTTGCTCACTGGTACGGTTGTGAGAGGGGAGGGGAACAGTTGTTTATTGCTGGGACCTAGGGGGAGCGGGAAGACCGGAGTGCGTGAACAGTTCCGTTCTTTCGGTTGCCATCTTACAGCTTGTAGATTGTGGACAGATGCATAGGATTACTCGAGGAAAAGCCGATTATCATCAAATTGTGCGGCTGGGTACAGCATACAGACAAGCTGGCCATGCGCGAAATCGCGTACCAAATCGACCAACAAACGGGCGGGTCTTTTCTCATTGAGGACGAGGGGGCAGAGGTCGATCCCTTCTTGGAGACCCCAACCGGGATACATAGTGGGCAGCCGCCAGCAACACATCTGTCCAAGTTCATCTCCTCTCTGCCTACTCTCAGTCGTGCCACGGTCGTCGTGTTGGACGGGTTTGATCTATTTGCCCAGCACCCTCGGCAGTCGTTGTTGTATTGTCTTTTGGACACGGTCCAAAGCTGCCGGGCTGAGGCTGGCAAGAAAGGGATAGCTGTGATCGGGACCACCGCTCGCGTTGACACGATCAATATTCTCGAGAAACGCGTCAAAAGTCGATTCTCGGGGCGCATGTTTCGGACTGCATCTCCTGGAAACTGGGATGATTGGAGAGGCTTCACGAGGAAAATTCTGTGCCAGAGTCTCGAGTCCTTTGCCGATTTTGATGGACAATGGGAGCGCGCAGTGGATTCGTTCCTTCAAGACGAACTGACCCAGTCAGTGTTCAAGGAAACTCTCAGCGTAACTCGGGATGTCAGAGTGTTCAATCGGATACTGGTATGTCATTGGAGTATGTTCGGTCACTCTGCTCATTTCGCAGACAGCGATGGTTGTTCAACTGTCTCCAGACGCGCCTTATCCCACACCAAAACAGCTAGCACACGTGGCATCAATGCAGCGCACTCGAGTAGGGTTTCCGTCTGTAGAGGGTACGTCTTCCACGCTGCGAAGATTAGCACAATCCTCTGAGTTTTCTCTAGGTCTGCCTTATCCAGCGCTCTGCTTGCTAGTTGCTTGTATGCATTCAGAAACCGCTGGACACTCAATATTCACCTTCGAGATGCTTTACGAGAGAGTTCGGGACCAAATTCGGGTTTCCGCTTCCGCCCCCGTTGAAGTCAAGGGAACCAGTGTGGGGATGCCGCAGTGTTCTAGGGCGGTGCTTTCCAGCGTGCGTTGCTATCCAATGCGTCGACAACTTCCCTCATACGACCCGCAGGCTTTCGAAACACTGGTGTGCACGAGTATCTTCATCCCATCTGTTGCTCCAGCAGCAGGAATTGCGAAAGAGTTCGCGAAATACCGCTCTCATGTAGGCAGAGAATGGATTCGTAGAGCTCTGCAACTCAAGAACGACATGAATCTGAATAGATGGCTTGGGAAATCGTAGAATAGGGGCATCAATTATTACAACTGTAATTTGTATCACTTCACTTCTTTCAACCATGCCCTCCCCATCGCAATCTCGCACACAGCAAGACGTTATGGATCAAGACTCATCACGCCCGCATCTCAAAAATCCCTTCTCTCCTCCCCAGTCACCCTCGTCAAACGCGAAGCGTCCAGAATCTTCTGACGGCGCCGTGCAAGAAACAGGTCAGAATGAACACCCCGACGACTCGCACCCCAAGCACAGCGTTTTGTCAAATATACTGCATCTTGGACACCATTCAGATAGCGACTCCGGATCGGGTAGTCACGATGGCCACCAACATGCCCTGCCCTTTGCTATCCCCATTCCCAATTTGCCCATTCCCAACCTTCCGATTCCCAATCTCAACAATCTGCCTAACCTGCCCATACCTGATCTGGGTAACATTGTAAGCCAAAAGGCGAGAAGACCGTCTGAAATTATACAGAATGTTACCAGTGCGTGCGATCCATGCTCTCGCTATGCTCAGCTCATCGTCGCACGCGCGCGCTCTCTCTCTAACAGGGATCGACAACCGGCATAAGTTCATCCTCAAACTCGCCAAGGCTTTGATGTCTTTCGGTGCACCGTCTCATCGAATCGAATCGCAGCTGGTAGCTGCCTCCAAGATCCTGGCCGCGGGAGCAGGTGCGTGTTTTGACGCGTTTTTACGCGTCTAAGTTGCTGCCCACGCGTATCCAGAATTCGTTCATCTCCCCAACATTGTCATTGTGACTATCCGGAACGGCGGGACCGCGTCGACGAGGACGTACTTCGTCCGGGCGACTGGCCGCATCTCGCTCTCGCGGCTCAATGCGGTGCATCACGTTTACCGCAAAGTGCTTCACGACAAGCTGAGTGCGGAAGCGGGGACCGACGCTCTCCGGGAACTCTTGAAGGCGCCTCCAGTTTATAATCTGTGGCTGCGATGTTTCTTTGCGTTCACGTGTGCTTCTATTCTGTGTGTTCTGTCGTTCGGTGGCTCGTTCTTGGATATGTGGGTGAGTGGGACGTGCGCTGCGACGCTTCAGTATCTGGGCTTGAACGCAGGTTTGTGTGTTTTGTATTGAGAGGTGTGTAGCGAGCGCATTCATCTAACTCCTCTCAGCGAACAAGAGCTCGATGTATGCAAATGTATATGAGTAAGTGCCTAACGTGCATGTATCCAGATACTCAAGCGTAGACCAGGATCTCTGTGACGATCATTGTCGCTTTCGTGGCTCGCGGACTGAGCAATATCCCGGTACTATTTTTATTATAACGTCATAGGGTGGCTTATCGGACTTCTTGTAGGGGAAATACTTCTGCTACAGTGCCATCTCATCTGCCGGTGTGATAGTCATCTTGCCGGGTTTCACCGTGCTTGTATCAGCCCTCGAGTTGATGTCCAAGAACATGTTTTGTGGCTCTGTGAGAATCGTCTATGCCATCATCTACACGCTCTTCTTGGTGAGCACGTTGGCTTGTCACGTATCCGGCATTGACCGAGCCAGGGATTCGGTCTTACGATCGGGTCTGACTTGTATTTGGTTGTTGACAGACGTGCTCGTCGCGCATACTACACTGGGCCGGCGACCACCGAATCGACTTACACGCACGGGTACTTTGATATAATGAACGGGACTGACGCTGGCCAGATGCTGAGCGGAGTCCTGGCTGTTACTGGGAAAAGTTTCGAGTCTGAGCACATCATCAAGGGCTGCTTCCGCGATCCTGGCTGGTCCTGGGCTCGGCAGCCTTTTCCTTGGTGGACGATGCTGTTTCTGGTGCCACTGTACTCGACTTCGTCATCGCTCTCTAACCTGCAAAGCATCTTTACGTGGCACTCTCGCAAGCAACTTGTGATCATGGTCTTCTTCTCGTGCTGCTCTTATACTGCCAACCGTGCCATCAGTGCCATTCTGCCTACGAGACCGGATATTGTGTCTGCCTCGGGTGCTTTTGTGATCGGATGTCTGGGCAACACTTATTCACGCTTGTTGCGTGGGACCGCCTTCACTTCGATGGTGACGGGAGTCTTGTTCTTGGTCCCTGTGATTTTGTTTTGCTCCTTTTGTGTTGTTGTCCTGGACTGATTCTTTGGTACTCCAGTCTGGTATTGCTCAAGGCGGTGGTCTCACTCAAACGTACAAAAATTCTGCGGATCAATACTCGAGTGGGTTCTCGCTGGCGCTCCGGATGATTTCAGTGGCATGTGGTGTGACGATCGGTTTGTTTGTGAGCCAGGTTCTCGGTCAGTCGGTTCTTTTTTTTGGCATGTAAGATGTGGGCTGACCGAGACCGGACAGTATATCTATTTGGGACGCGCAAGAACGCGGCCCATTTCGCATTTTGAGATTGAATTATACGCGCAAGACAGAATTATAGAGACATGTACATATGATATATGCATTAGCAATCACCCGAACAGCTCATTCAGCTCATCCATGCGACGGGCCATCATCTCGGACTTGCTGTACGACTGGCCAAGGGTCATGTTCGCAAGCTCCGTCTTCTTGCGCTGGACCTCGAGCAGCCGCGCTTCGATCGTGTTCTCGATGATCAGCTTGATTGTGGTCACGGGACGAGTTTGACCCAGTCGGTGCTTGAAGCAAACATCAGCGCGCTCGAAAAAACATCGAAGCGAGGGGCCTCACAATACGATCTACGGCCTGGTTCTCGACGGCAGGATTCCTGTGAAAGAACACACGACATGAGCCGACATGTGGAAGATACGGTCGCCGCACGTACCAGTAAGGGTCCATGAGGTAGACCCGTTGTGCGGCCGTCAAGTTAAGACCCACCCCACCAGCCTTCAAACTGACAAGAAGGACCTCGACACCAGGGTCGTGCTTGAGGGCATCCATGGCACGTGTTCGATCGTCTCGACGCATGGTCCCATCCAATCTGTCATACCGGATGCCAGCGGCTTCAAGCGCATCTTCGATCCTGCACAGCGGAGTGTCAGTAAGTCACGCAGACGGCTTCGGAAGTATCCAAGGCCCTCACTTGTCAAGCATCGACGTCCACTGCGAGCTGTTTAAACGTCAGTCTCGGTGCAATTCCAGAATAGAATCTCATTTACAAAACGACAGTTTTGACGACGCCGTCATCCAACCGGTTGCCCTCGTTATCGATCATCTGCACGTCGTCGGCATCCGGCTCGTAGTTGCCCGAGTAAGGGTTGGCCCGAGAAAACTGCACGAGGTCGCCCAGCAGGGCTTTCACCTTGGTCGACGGATGGAAATTCTCCAACGAGCCGCCTTTCTGTCGCTTCTCCCGTTTGGCGGGCTTCTTCTTTGCTGTGGTTTCGCCCGCATCGGGCTTGATCTCCACCGCATCCAGAGGACTCAGGCCGGTCTGGCAGGCCGAGCACGAGCGGCGGGTGTCCGCCGGGACGTTCGGCCATCCCGGACAGATGCACGCCCGATAGCAATCGATGCAGAACAGGTGTTGACAACGCGTGAGCACCGGCCGGGGGGCTGCTGACGGGCTGTTCGCTCGTGTCGGGCCTCGCGACGTCGTCCCCTTCGTTTTGCGAGTGCGTTTGGACCCAGAGGGGCCGTCGGTATCCATGTCCTGGGCCACATCACTGCTCCCGTTGTACAGCTCACCGCCGCATTCGACGCACTGCGTCGTAGACGATTCTCGCAAGATCGCGAAGATGGCCGCCGCCCGTGCCGGATTGATGCCATCGCGGTACACATCAGCGACGATGTCCTCGTAGGAGGCGGCGGAATCTGGTTGTTGCCCAAGACCTTTGCCTTCGACAAGCTCCCAGTGGTCACAAATCTGTCGAAGACGCAGAATCTTCTGCAGGATGCCCACGTAATTCTTCATCACTTCGTTCTTGTCTGTGAGGTCCTCGAACTCCGCTTTGGATTCGTGGTAGAACTGGTCGTAGATGTCCTGCTCTTGCTCATCGAACTTGAGATAACGCAGCTCATCTCGCCGCGGAGGAAGATCAAGAATCTTGCTGCCGTCCTGCTTCTTCGATTCCTTGGTGCGGCGCAGGGTGATGCACTTCATAATCATCTGCAGCCGTGCTACACCAAGAGCTTGTCCAAACTTGACGGGGCTGCCAATGTACTCCGTCCACACATTCTTGTCGTCGAGCGGCTCCAATCGCAGGAACTTGATCAGAGCAAACACGTCATCGAGTTTGTTCTGCACCGGAGTTCCCGTCAGACACAATCGCCGATCAGCCATAAGATCACAGGATGCCCGGCTGCCAACGGTTCCGGTCTCCTTGATGCAGCTGGAAAAAAGTTAGAGAGCTGCACGCGACACGAAACTTCAAACACGCACTGGGCCTCGTCAAGGACCACTCGGAACCAGTGGATGCTCTGCAGCGCACTCGAAACCTCCATTCCACCATTAGGGATCCCACTCTTTTTCCGCTTTAAACCTTTTTTCGCCTTGGGCAGCTTCAGAACCTGCATCCCACGCTCGTCGATCTCGATTCCTCCGTCGCTACTGTCGTCGTCGTCGTCTTCTGCCTCAGCATTGACGATGCTCTTGTTCTGCTTGGAGTACTCCGATGCAAGGGTCGAGTATGTCGTGATGACGGCGTCGAAATCGGCAAGGTAGGCGGGATCGGGTCTGCGGGCATTGCCGTGGTAGATATAAACGCGCAGAGGAGATCCATGGGACTTGCCATCCTCGAGGAACGTCGAAGGATTGGACAGAGCCTGCGTCATCGCCTGCGAAGCCGTGGCGGGCACACATCCGCCTGCGCCTCCGACGACATGCACTTGCCCCCGCCAATGCTCCCGGAACTGGTCTTCCCAATTCGACACAGTCGACAACGGACAAATGATCAAGCTCGCGCGACTCTTGGCTTTGATTCGCGACGCTCGCACGTGCTCGGCGTCCAGCTTCTCCTGCGCTCGGGCGGCCTTTTGTTTCGCCTTGATGGACGCAGCGGTATCTGGCATGTTCCATACGCTGCCTGCGAAGCCGGAGGGGGACGGTGGCTCCGAGTCGTCGCGAATGTGAGCGAAGGAGTCCGGAGGGGTCGATGCGAATTGGCGAGCAGAAGGTAAAGTCGCAGCGATCAGAGAAACACATGTGATCGTTTTCCCGAGACCCATCTACGACTTGTTCAGACGAGCATTGTCAAGCACTGGATCACACACGCACATCATCTGCGAGGATGGAACCCTTGGCCTCTTTAGGTTCCTGGTATGTCTCTTTCATGGTGATCGTGTGGAACCAGTTAGGTTGTGAAGTATGGCCGCGTTGCTGCCATAGAGAAGAGAACTTCCCGTCTGGCCCCGGTTTCTCCCGTTCTCGTTCTAACAAGAAGGTCAATGCTTTCTTCTGGTGCGGATACAGCCTGGTCGCCACATCCGAACCTACACGCGATAAGTTCACGAAGGTCAGTAAGCAAAGCGAATGCGGCGCACTGGGTTCCGTCTCCATCAATTCATCGCCACTCTTCAGGCTTTGGAATAGCTCGTCTACTTGACTTCTCTGTACCTCTACGCTCTTGCCCGACACCTGAGGCGTACTCCATCGGCTCATGTTCGATTGCTGGACGAAAGGACGGGCTTGCTGAGGGCGATGGCCGCCTGGTGGTGGATTGTGCGGGTTGTGATAATGCTGATTCTGCCCAAGGATGCGAAACATATCGTATGGAGGTGAAGGATGATCGAGGAGCAACCCGCATTGATGTAGGTAGTTTCCAACGACAGGGATGTTGCCCTTGGGCGTGTAAACGAGCATTTGGAGAGGCAGGATAGGAAGCTGGGAGAACGGGTAATCTATCTGCCGTCAAAGGAAAAGAAAAATACGAACATTGGGAGGACCCTTGCGTACTTTCGCGTCTAGACGGATAAGACCCTTTCCCAACATGGGCCCCAACGCAGATGCCACCTTTTGCTCCACCACACCAAACGCCTCGCCCATCAGTTGTTCTCCGTTCGCCCCCCGTCCCTGCGGTGCCTTGATATGGATCGTTTCCGTCGAGCCCACAGGCTTGGTAGGGCTGTGTTCGTACTGCAGACGGACTGGTGCCCATTCCTCGTGCATGTTTGAGGATGGAAGCAGGTATTGCGTCGGATATAAGACAAGAGCTGTAACGCCGAGTTGTCCGATGCATACAGGCGTCTTCGGCGGGAGATCTGCCGGAAGGTTCGGGGGTCCGTTCATGAGAGGAGGAGGAGGCGAAGGCGACGTTGTGAGATCAATAACGTGCGGTCCTGCGGCAGAAGGCACTCTCGATGGACCAGCGACGGGTTGTTGGAAAGCGCGGGGAGGAGCGACGGCAGGGACAGAAGGCGGCGCAGAAACAAAGGCAGATGGAGTCGCTGAGGCGAAAGCAGGCCGGTAGGCGATGGGATTCAAATTCGAGGGCGCATACGGCTGATAATTGGGACGAGCGTTTGTTGTCGGGATGGCCGAGGGAAACTGGCCGGACTGCGACACTCTCGATGAATCGACGCGTGGCCGCTTCGCAAACCTAGAGTAATCGGTCGTGTCATCGTCATCGTCGTCGTCGCTTGTGACTAAGATAATGGGTTGGCCCTCCAGAGATCAAGACTGAAAACAAAAAAGACTGACGGTCGATGTGGTTATTCTGGTAGGATACGGATGCCGGGGAGACAGGTTGGCTCGTTGTATGAGATGTGACAGCTGGCGACGCCGCGGTGGCCATGCTGACGAACGATAAGAGGTGGAGGGGAACAGCCCTGGCTGATGCCCAAGAACTGCAAGCGCCTTCAAGGTAGGCGCAAGCACGTGCTTGTTTGCCGCCTCCGGATTACTCAGCCCTCTCCCTCTCTCAGTCAGCCCGAATCATGCAAGCATCCGATGAACCCGAAGGCCCCCATACACAGAGGCATTTCCCCTCGAACGATCTCAGTAGAGGCGGCTCTTTCAATGCCAATCGTCTGGTGATGTCAGAGCAAACATATTATTGCTAAGCTCGACAACAGCTGGTATTAAAATAACCTTGACAATCGTCCCCCCGTCGTCCCTTCGTTCAGCAAGCTCGTTGCGGACTGTCAACTTTGTCATGGACAGTTGCCCTCTCGAAGCATTCAGCTGTCCTCCTAAGTCGCCTGGAATGTTCCCGAAGATTATCCCTTTCCAAATGCGAACACTGCCGTCGACGCGCAATGCAATGCACGTCACGATCCTGCGTCGTTGACTCTTTCTCGTCAATCTGCCGTCTCGATGAGGGGCCAGCAAGATGTCATTGTCTATTTTAATCTTGCAACTACGACAACGACTACGGCTGCTCAATGGAGTTTAAATCGTAAACTCGGTATAAAAGCAAGACGAAAGCTCGTTCATCCTCAGCTCAATCTTCCACTACTTCTCTACTGCAGTAATACCCAGGCTAGTCCTGTTCCACGCTTCACTACTATCTTTTCTGCGATCTACATCGGCCAGCCGCCCAAGTATCCTCCATCCTCTTTCAAATAATCACCATGCTGTCTCGCGCTCTTCTTGTTTTCGTCGCTCTCCTTCACACCTGCACGTTGAACGTGTCAGCGCACGGAACGATTACCAAGATCCAAGGCGCGAATGGCGTGGCAGGCGCAGGCTTCGGTTGGTCCACATTTTCCTCGGCCCCACAACTGTCGCTCACGGCACTCTCTAGGCATCCTCGCTTCGACTCCCCGGAATGGCGCGACGCCCAATCCTTTTGAGCAGGATACCAGCGTCATTCGCAACCAGGAAATCAGCAGTGGCAAGACCGGTCCCTGTGGTCGCACCAAAGCGGGAGGTAACAACGACGTCACCGCTCAGCTCGCAGGTGTGTTCTGTCGAGATCGCGGGGTTTTCTTTGCTGAATTCCGTCGGTCAGCTGCTGCTTCCTCTGGCATGCCCTCAGCAGCAGCTGATGGATCTGTCACCATGACACTGCACCAGGTGCGTCGATTTTGACTATATTCGATAGATCAGAAACTAAATCGATATCTCTCCCTGCAGGTCAACCAGGACGGCGCTGGACCTTACAGCTGCGACGTCTCCGGCGACGGGGGAAACACTTTCCAGAAAGCCCAAGTCACCACCCAGGTCCCTGGTTTCCTCGGCTTGTCTGCGGCATCGGCCCAAGACTTCCCGCTCGTCGCTCAGATGCCAGCGTGAGTTTATCAATGGTTACTCTATCGCATTCGCTGATCGACCATCGCAGTGGCATGGCCTGCACTGGAGGGCCCAATGGCGATGCTTGCATCATGCGGTAAGTCGCGTTCACGATCGCAAAGCATTTCGAACTGAATGGCTTGTCGCAGATGCCGCAACCAGGCATTGGCAGGTCTGTTCTCGCTGTTTGGCGCTTGATAGCCTCTTTGACTCAATCATCTGGTTCAGGTCCCTTCGGATCGTGTGTTGCAGTGACCGGTGCTTCAAGTAACGCTGCTGCCGTTCCTGCTGGCGGCGCTGCTGCGGCCGCTGCTCCTGCTGCTGGGTGAGATTACTCAGTCCGACTAGATGAATTCAACTGAGTGCATTGCAGCGCTGCGACCCCCAAACGATACGTCGACTCTCGCATCGTTGGAAAGCGTGCTGGAGGATACTGGCTGGACGCGCAGTAGATCGTCCCTCTTTTTCTCCTCAAGTATACCCTGGATCATCACCGGATCCAGTCTTTTGAACTTGTTACGCCCTAGTGTCTGTACTGTACATCTTTGACCCGGAGCTCAGAATGTCATCCAGCCCCATATACGTCATCAGGGTCGTGATCTGCACACCCATCAGCGCACCTTGACCTCATTGCTTTGGCGCTTGCGAGCAGTGTGCATGTGCTTGCTTAGTCCCCATGAGCGCTCTCGATAGTGTTGAGTCCTCTCCATCCTCTTCCAAAGACAGACAGCCGCGTCGCTCGCGTCACCCATCAAGCGCCTCCCTACGGAGCATAGGCTCGGCGCGGTCGCCCCGCCCCATCGTCTGGCGCCCTCCGAACACCCTCAATTCGAGAAGAAAAGATAGCCTTAGTGTTACCTCGGACGTTATGGTATCGACTGTGGTGGCTGGTGCTGAAATGAGCGTGGCTTCCGGAAGTAGCCTGCGCGAACGCATGGAAGCATTCAACGTTGTTTCTCCTCCTGAGCCTGTGCCTGTCGAGGAGCCACCGCACCCTTCAGTGGAGGAAACGATGGTAGAGTCCCCGACACAGATCCCTAAAGAGCTTGTAGAGGAGCCAGAGCCAGAGCCAGAACCTCCCATAGAACCCTCCCCCGCAGCTGAGCCAGAGAAGCCCGAAGCAGTACTGCCGCCTCAGCCGATCGATGGAACAAATGTTATTGCATTCCCAATTCCTGCGTCTACACCTTCAAGCTCCGGTCGGCCGTCCTCATCGTGGTTCGGCTCACTTTCCCGGGCACGAGGGAAGGAACAACTGGCGTCTGTAGCCGAACCCATCCCCGATCCCCCTGCAGCTGTCGCCGCTTCCACTGCTAAGGATGAAGCATCCCCCGAGGCTGCAACCCCCGAACCAGTCATGTTGCCAGAACCAACGCCCACACAGCCCGTCACAGTGCCAGAACCAACGCCCACAAAGCCCATTCTGGACCCGTCTGTCAATAATCGCAAGTCGGCAGCGACAATCGCATCTAAACGATCCTGGTTCTCCTCCTCGCCCGTCCAGCCCTCCCCGCTCCGCGCAGCGTCGCCTCCGCAGCCCATTCCTCCGATCTCTCGACCCAGACATCGCCATACGGCGTCGTCGTCGGTGGACTCGGTGGTGCCGACCCCGGCATCCGACTCCGCAGTCCCTGTCAGTTTCCCCCTGCCTACTTCGCCGTCGGACCTGGAGTTGGATGCCAGTGAATCTGCTGACGGCGTGCCAGTGAGGAGGAGGAGATTGTCGTCGTTGAACCCCAGTATTGGGAGGTTTAGCATCAGTCTACCATTAATTGGCGGAAATAAGGCGGTAACGTCGCCGACGATCAGCGGTATGTTTCCTCTCTTGCATTTGTGCTTTCTTTCAGATTCACGTTTACGCAGCTCCGAACTTAGGGAGTGGTAAGAGGTTAGATTTGATTGTAGCACTGCTGACCACGAATGCAGGGGCCGGCACTGAAGAAGTGGAAACTCGTAAGTCAGTCATCCCAAGTTTCCGATCCTCTCAGCTCAGTGTTTTTTGTAAAGGATCGGAAGGTTTGTCGACCTCTCATGTCCATCAGTTAAGCCCTAACCTTAGCCTTTGCAGAGTCGCACACGTTGACCACAACCACGAACACGACTACAGTAACAACAACAATCGTGTCCGATTATTCGTCCTCTCATGACCAGGCCGAAAGTAGCGCGATGAAGGAGACGATGGTGCAATCCGGCTCATGGTGGGACTACATTGGCTGGGGAACTGGGTTGCCGCCACCTGCCGCAGTCGTTCCAGCCGTTCCGAGCACCGAGACCGTTCCGGAAGTAGAATCGCCTGATGAGGGAGAGTCAACCCCGAAACCTACACAGCAGTCGGTATTGCCAGAACCGTCAAACTGGCTCCAGCATCCGATGATGCCGACAAGACGATCAAGCAAGTAGACCCGGCTTGGTACTCGCCTTGGGCCTGGTATGGGTCGGCTGGTACACCGGAGAAGGAGGATGAGAAGAGTCTGGAAGTGGAGCCACCGGTTTCGGAAGTGCAGGTCGAGCAACCGCCGCCAGAGGGACCGCCAGAGGAAGCCGATGTGCCAGAGAGGCTCGAAGTCGAAACTCCTGCCACGATTTCTTCCGCACAGCAGAGATATTGGACGTCGTTCTTTTCTTCGAGCTACTCTCAACCTCAATCGCCACGTTCGACGGCCCCGCTGGAAGCGGCCCCTTCCTCTTCCAGTCTAGTCAGCGCCGACTGCGAATCTGTGCAATCAGAGGCCCCATCGCTGCCTCCCGTCAACCCTATTGGTGAAAGTATCATCGCAAATCGCAGCAGCTGGGTCTCGTTCTTCACCAGTTCTGGGTCGATGGGATACGTGGCGCGAAAGAGCATCACGTCTGGAGAGCCTGAGGTGATGGAGGTCGATTTTGATGGCTCAGGGGATGAGGCCGAGAGCAATGCTAAGACGACGCCCCGCCACAACACCGACTGGAAAGGAATCCAAGGCAGGGAAAGCAGAACTGCCGAAATCTGCACCCACTTCTCCAACGCCCAGTCCCAAACAACAGCCTGTCAAGGGCAAGCACTTACCCGCTGCACCACCACTGACGATCTCGGACACAGTCAAGCGGCAGGTCGCCAACAACAACAACACACCCAGATCAACGTCGCCGTCGCCTGGGACCAAGTCGCCAGCCAAACCAGCATCAATCGCGCCGCCTCGGACCCCGACGCCGAACTTGGTACTGCCGGCCTGGAAAGACACATTCCACACTCATCCACGAGTAGCACTGCCACGGCGATTGCAGGACAAGACGGCCGCGCGGGCTGTCGTGGCAAAGACGATGAAGTTTGTTTCAGGAGTGCTGTTTGCTGGTGACGCCTCACCGCAAGGCAAGGGCAAGGGTGTGGAACGAGACAAGTACGCGGACTGGGGGATGGGGCTTCCTCGTGCTTGGGACGTAGTCCAGCCGCAGCAAGAGGTTGTCGATGCTGCACGAGGATGCAAGAGCGTCGCGGTCATTGGCATCCATGGATGGTTCCCTGGGGCTGTCATGCGCAGTGTGTTGGGCGAGGTGCGTTTGTTCGTTCGTTTGCGCCGTACCCGCATGCTGATTACATGGTCAGCCCACGGGGACGAGTGCCAAATTCGCCAATATGATGGTCTCTGCGCTCGAAGAGTTCCAGACAACCCACGGCGTCAAATTTGACAAGATCACGCGCATCCCGCTGGATGGCGAAGGCACGATCGAGCGCCGGGTGGAGAAGCTGTATGCTGCATTGACTGCCAACGAGGAATGGATGACCGCTCTACACGAGGCAGACGTTATCTTCGTAGCCACTCACTCCCAGGGCAGCATCGTCTCAAGCATATACTCGATCGCTTGATTCGGGACCGCCACATTCGCACAGACTATGCGGATGCCGGGCCACCACAGAGAGTCTGCTGCCTGGCGCTCTGTGGGATCCATCTGGGGCCGCTCAGATACTTGAACTCCAGCTCGCTTCTGTACCGTATATTCAGGTGGGTTCTTCAATCTTGCTTGTTACCGCTTTGTTGATGATAATGATAGTACTTTGAATCTGTTGCTGCCAAAGAGCTGTTCGAGTTCCAGGTCAGATTGGCTTCTCACTTGTTATTACTAATCGCTCTCAATTGACCATAGAACACCGAAAGCGAAGTATCGAAGGCTTATTTAACTCCCTACGCAATGTTCTCACCACGGGGTGAGTGCAGTCTCGATAGTCTCTCCCGTCTGTGCACCATCTCATGCGCGACAGATCAAAATGGTGTATGTTGCTTCCGAAAACGCCAAGTTGTGCCCATGTATTCTGGTCTTTTCACGGCTGCTTCCCATCCTTTATTTTACGGGCGCTTTATATATCGACGGAGACGCGTATCAGTGAGTTTCACCGGCGAAGAAAGCACTTTGTCTGAACACAACTAGCTCATCCGACTTTTTATCGAACCTGCTCGTGCTCTTACTCAAAGTGTTGAATGCTGGGCTACCCGACAGCGGGCTTATTACGCATCTTTCCGAAGCGACTGCTGGATCGTTGAAACGAATCGGTCATTCGTCACCCTTATGAAGAGTTGGGAACGTACAGTCTGGCCGTCAAATATCTGTTTTTGACCAACCACGCGATTTGAGAAGCACCCGAACTTGTGGTCGAGCCGTTCGATGCGAATGTCGAGCAGAATGACTACGAGTGAGCTCTATTCATTCCACGAGAATTCAGACAGACCCTAACCCCGACCGCAGATTCCTTGGTCTCTCCGCGACATCATCGCCGACCAACGGGTAGCACATTTCTTTGGGCCGGACATCGTACAACTCGCAGGAGCCTTCAAGCACTGGCATCCACGGACCGCTATACTTCGTGACATCAAGCGGAAGCTGCAGCCGATACAGAGAGGTTGCCGGCAACATTTACTGATCCCCACCCGGTCCCGCCAAGCAGGCTTTGAATTTGACAGCCAGAGTTGGTGTAAGTTATACAAAGTCAAGACAGCTATCGTACTTATAGTAATCTGGTACATAGAGTGTATTTTATACTGCTGGGCATCGGAACATACACATTGCTTTCGTTAGAATCGTTACAGGTACCATCCGAGCTGAGCATGAGCATCTCGCACGGCTTCCTCTTTTGCAGTCCTCTTGTTCTGGCCACTGCCCGAGCCTTGACCATTAACCATGAGTATCATTGGTCTGGTGCTCATACCACTACGACACACCTTTCTTGATCCCGTTCAGCACGCAGCTGACCACCCACTTCCCGTCGACCCACTCGTCCAGATATTCGACTTGGATCTTGCGTTGCGCGGCAGCCTGGTTGAAAGCCATCAGCGAGACCACCGGCAGCTTGGAGGATGTGCTTGAGGACATCAGCCAGGCGCGGAGGTCGCGGCGTTCAGAGGTGAACTAGTGGGCGGATTGGAAACGGCGCGGGCGGGTGATACCGATCCGGATACACCACCCCAACAGCCTGAATCACCCCGCCGTCGTCGCTGTGCTCTCCATCTTGATCCGCTTGCTTGCCCTCTGCTCCACCGCGGCACCGTCCGTGTCGAGCCCGTGCGACTGGATCCATCGCCGGACGAATTCCGGCACGCCCGACGCGTCGCCCCAGTCCGCAACGCGCGCCGCCCATGTACGCGCGGAACAGGGCTGCAGATTCCTGCGCTTATATCGGTATTTGATATGAATCTGTACGCGTCGGGCACTGACCTCGGGGGAGGACATCTCGGCGTATTTGTCGGGGATACACTGGCGCGTGTTTGAGGACTCGCACACGCGCCTGTGGAAGAGAGAATGAGAGAGAAAACGCACGCGGACATGCTTGACCACTCGCATTTCGCTGCGAGTGTCCGCGACGACATCCGCGGCTCATGAAGAAGTCTCGCATCGACTGCGGCGCGTGTTACTTTAATTCACTGATCCTACCTGCGCGTTCGGAGACGTACCAGCTCATTTCTTCCTATTCACAGGATGGGCTTACGTCGTCATGAGCACATCGCTGATTGACAAGTTGGAGATAGTGGGTCGCCCAGCTGTCGCGTAGGTTGGTCTTATTGCACGGGCGCGGTCGGCACGGGCAGGCTTACTATCGTCAGGCGCGCATTGTCCATGCGCTCGCGCGTGTGGGATCGGGATCCCGCAACGACCTGTGGGTGAACACGCGCAGGAGTGGTGTTCTCCGCTGAGCTGGGGCAGCCGGGGCAGGTCCGTGGCTCGAAGAATGGGAAGAGTCACGCTTCATGCTGTAGGATGATCCCGGACGTTGCCGATTGCGTTTCCGAGACCTTTCCCGAGAGAACAAACGACGCGAGTTGATTACATATGTGCGAGTACAGATAGGTGTTAGATAGACAAGTACAGGTAGTTAGTCGCTGATAGTT